AACGACCTGCTCCTTCGCAGCGCTGAGCAGATCCAGATGCTGCTGCAGGCAGCGCTCGCGCGGCGCAGCCCCCGCGGGGCCCGGGGGCAGCCCCAGGTGAGCCCCAGCGCGGTGCCGCGGGGCCGTGCCGCGTCCTGACGCGCTGCCCCCCCCCCCCCGTTTCTCCCCAGAGAGCTGTGAGGGGGTGGTGTGCGGCCCCGACAAGGTGTGCAAGATGAAGCACGGGCGGCCCCAGTGCGCCTGCGCCCCCGACTGCTCCAGCCTGCCCCGCAAGCTGCAGGTCTGCGGCTCCGACGGCTACACCTACCGGGACGAGTGCGACCTGCTGACGGCCAAGTGCAGAGACCACCCCGACCTGGAAGTGATGTACCAGGGCAAATGCAAAAGTAGGTTGGGTCGTGCCCCTGCCCTGCCCCATCCCCGCTCCCCGCGGCTCCCGGTGCCATGAGGGCAGTCGGAGCCCGGCAGCGCCGCGTGGCCCCAGGTCACACGCGCCCGTCGGTCCTCCCGGTGCCCTGCGAGGTCCTGCAGGGGTGAGAGGCCGCCTGGGTCGGGCACGAGCTGCCCGCACACCACGCACTGCCCCCACCTCTCCCGCCCCAGGCAGCCAGGGCTACCGTGAGCCCAGCCACCGAGGCTGCAGCCTCTGCAGACGGAGATGCCGCTGCGGTGCCCTCCCCTCCCGTGGCGCATCAGGAGCAGATCCGCAGCCTGGGTTTGGGGGCTCTGCCATGCCCCGGTGGGGGGGGACGAGCCCGGCCCCCGGCTCCCAGCTGCATCTCCCCGCCTGAGCGCTGCGCGGAGGAGTTCACTCGCGGCCGAGCTCTCTGGCCCCGGCATCGCCCCCGCGCCGCTGCCTGCAGCAGGGTGGAGCGGCTCGGAGCTGGCACCCGCTCTGGGGCCCCGGCCCCGGCACCCCAGCGGGGACGCAGCGGTGAGAGCCGGGCGGCCGAGGAGCTGCCTCGGATGCCGAAGCGGCTCGTCAGTGCGACGGGGGATTCGGCCTCGCCGCGGCTGGGGAATAGCAGTCCGTAAAATGTCACTTCCAAACATCAAGCCCCTTTTTTGTTGTTTTGTTAAAGAGAGCAGTAATCCTCCTTCCCCTGCCAAGAACTGTCAGAATTATTATGATTATTTTTGCCAGCCCTCCTCTCTGAAATGCTTTGCCTGTCAAGCTCTGGACTGCACAGTAAAATTTGGGGCAAGAAATGTGAGTTGCGAGCTGGGAGTTGCAGATGCCAAGTCTCCTTCCAATCCGGCAGGAAAATAGAGGAAGGAGGAGGGAAGGCTTCAAACAGTGTTTACAGCGTCCGGGGAGCACGCCGGGCCCAGCTGTGCCCCCGCGCTGGTGTGGGGCTGGTGCCATGGGGGCGGCCGGCTGCACAGGGCCTGCGGGCTGGGGGTGCACAAAGCCCCCCCCGCCCTCCTGCACAGCTCCGAGCCCTGCCCGGGGCCTGATCCTGCCCCTGCGGACCCTCGCCGCCCCTGCTCTCTCTGCCAAGGCACCTGCGTGGGGCCGCTTGTCCCAGCCAGGTCCCGTCGGCCAAGCCGGGCTCCGGCCCCGCGCCCTCTCTCGGGTGCTGTTTCGGGGCCGTTGGCTCCCCCCGGCCGTTGGCTCCTGCCCCTCGTCCCCGCACGGCCGGCGGTGCCAGGTCCCTGCCCGGGGCTGCTGAGCTGCGTCCGCGTTGTGCTTCCCCGCAGAGTCCTGCTCCAGCGTGGTGTGCCCCGGCACCCACACCTGCGTGGTGGACCAGACGGGCAGCGCGCACTGCGTGACGTGCCGGACGGCTCCGTGCCCCGAGCCCACCAGCCTGGACCATGCCCTGTGCGGCAACAACAACGTCACCTACCCGTCGGCGTGCCACCTGCGGCGGGCCACGTGCCACCTGGGGCGCTCCATCGGCGTGCGCCACTACGGGAGCTGCTCGGGTGAGCGGGACGCGGGGCACGGGGGGCTGCGGGCACAGGGCTCTGCCCCCCTGCTGCACCCACTCACCTCTTTCCCCCTTTTCTGCCCCCGTTTCCAGCCGCGGCCAAGTTCTCCCTGGAGACGGACAACGCCGAGGAAAACTACGTGTGAATCCTTCCTTCGCCGCGAGGCCGGACCCAGGAGACAGGGGCATTATGTGTATATTGTACAAACCATATACCCAATATTTATTAAGATAAAAGGTCCTTATTTATATCTGTGTATGTTATGCAGTCGCAGAGAGCCCGGCTCCCGGCCCTGCCGGGGCTGCGCGGGGCCACCCGGGCTGCTCCGTGCCCGCGGCGTCGAGGGGGCGTCCGCACCGCCGCGCGCTGCCCCCCCCACGTGTCCTTGGACGGCCGCCCCGGGCCTATTTATTTTTGGATTGAATTCTTGGTACTCTGCTGACGTTTCTGGCCGGGACCTCGGGGTCAAGTGGGAATCTGCGCTTTATCTTTCCCCGGAGGGGCTCAGCCCCAGCTGCCAGCAGCAGGAAACGGAGCACGGAGCTGCGCCGGGTTTGGGACGGATGGGTTTATATTTTTATACACACATACATAGATATACGCACATGTATATGTGTATGGCATTCTCCCCTGAAGTTTCAGCGCGTGTTTGTTAAAGCTGATGTTAGCTGAGGTTCTCCCAGGCCCACCCAGACCAGGCTTCCAGCCCTCGGTGCGATGGGGACGCAGCCTGCGGCTCGCCCTCGCTCACCCCACCGTGGCCAAACCCCCAGCGAGCAGCCTGGGCTGCTGTGGGGCAGAGGGCAGCGGAGCCCCCATAGGGGCATGGGGCAGGAGCGTCCCTGGGACCCCCGGCCCCGCTCTGGGGCAGGCGCAGCCCCCTCCGGCCCCCGTCTCCCGCACCCAGCGCTCTCTCACCCCCTCTGTATTTATTGTTACTTCTCTCTCTTTTTGTGTGCGTTGTGACCTGTGTAAATACCATCTCGTCTCTGACACCAAGAAGCTGTTGCCTTTATATAAATATCATATATATATATAATATATATATATATAAATACCCTATTTTCTATTTTTGTATGATTGTGTTCCGATTCCTGAGGCAGAAGCTATGGGAACATATACATTTCCTATTCCATATTGTTAGGAGCATTTTACGGCTGTGTTACAATTTGGATTACAATTAAAAAACGAATAAAAGGTGCTGCGGGTCTGGTTTTGTTGTGCTGCTGCATCCCACGGGGCTGTGCCCCCGTGCCGTGGGACCTGCAGGGCGGCAGCAGTTGTGGGGCAGGGGGGGCGTGCAGGGGGGTGCCTGGTGCATGTGGCAGCGCGTCCCAGGAGCTGTGTCCCCCCCGGTAGCGGCCGTCCCGGTGTGGGCACCGGCCCCAGCTGGCAGCAGCGGCAGCATCCCCGTGGCGGGGAGCAGGTGAAGTGCGCCCTGCTCGGCCCCAGCTCCCCGGCTGCACCAGGCCACCGCCAGCATCTGGTTCAGCTTTGTGTTGGGGTTTTTCCACCCTGGCCAAGTCTCTCCGAGCAGCAACAAGAAAGGAAAGGGGAGAGAGAGGAGGGGAAAAAAAAAAAAAAAGAAAAAGAGAGAGCAACCAGCAATGCAAATCAAATATGTTCCTAATATCAGTGAGTGCCGTAAGGGTTTGGTATTTCACAAAACAATTCCTGCCATTAATTGAGTCCTGATGTGCGACGCTCCCCCGGCGGACGCAGTCGCAGGAGCCGGGCTGCAGCCTGCGGCTTGGCTCCCACGGGACGCCAGGAGCTGCGGCCGTGCCCCCGGCCGGGTCCCCTGCCCCGGGGCTGGGGTCAGCGCACGGCCCGGCCACCCCGACCCCCGTACCTGCCCCGCTCGCCTCTGAGCCTGCGGGAGGGGTGTAAGGGCACGGCCAGGGCTCAGCCAGGGCTTTCCCTGGTGCCAGTGATTGCAGCACAGGGGCCGGGGGCTTCCTGCCCCCTTCCTCCTCCCAGGGCTTTGGCCCCGAGGCTGCTGGCGCTGCCCCACGCCAAGGCGGCGGGCACGGGCTGAGGCAGCGACGTCAGTGCTGCTGCTGGGCGGGAGATTTCGGCTCCCAGAGCACGGCCGTGAGTCAGGCGGCTCCTTCGCTCCGTTTTTTGGGTGGTCTGGGGCGAGCCGGGACAAGCGCCGGCTCCCCAGGGTTCCCAGCAGCGTGTGGAAGCCCCGAGGCTGCCAGCCCAGCCCCAGCGTCCTCGGGGCTGTGGCTTCCCAGGGAGCCCACAGGGATTTGGGGTTCCTCAGCCTGGCAGGGTCTGGCCTCTGCTCCGTGTCCCCGGTGTCCCCAAGGCCACGGCAGGGTGCTGGGCTCCCCAGTGCAGGGACCACGGGGACTGGAGGGGGGGCTGCTTTCTGGGGACATCTCAGCCCTGCCCTTTGTGCCCCCCTCACCGCCCGACCGAGGGACGTCCCGTGGCACAGCCGCAGCCCCAGTGTCCCCCGGGACCCTCCGCAGGCAGGGCCGCTGCGCCCCGCGGCTGTGGCGTGCCAGCAATTTGCAGATAAAACAAACAACCAGGGGCGAGAGCGGCTCCATCGTCCCCAGAGATGGCCGCAGAGCCGGGCAGGAGCCGTGCGCTGTGTGCGTTGGCTCAGACCCTGCTGCAGCTCGCACGTGGCCCCTGACCCCCGGGGTCGGTGCTCATCCCCGTGCCAGCGGCGTGCGGGGCGGGGGGTGAGGATGGACCCCCCCGGGGGTGTCCCCGGCCCCTCTACCAGCACGGGCAGGAGCGGGCGTGCTGGGAACCGACCTGCCCCGGGCCGTGTCTGTGGTTCTCACGATGGGGGATCCTCGAGTGAGCGGTGGGATGGGGTGGGATGGGGCTGGGTGAGGCAGGGAAAGGACAGAAGGGAAAGCTGGAGGAAGGAAATCCTGGCAGGAGGCGAGGGGCAGCTGCCCCGGGCAGGGCAGGGGTAAGGTTGGGCCCCAGTCAGCCCCACTGGGACCGGCTGCCAGGAGGGGATTAAAGGGGGCTGAGCAGCGGGGCCGGGCTCTGCTGGCTGAGCGGGACTGGCGGAGGGAAGGTGAGCGGACAGCGGGCTGGGAAGGAGGTTTTATTGCGGAAGGAAAATGCTGCCAGAGGGGACTCAGGGTGCTGGGACTCTTTGTACAAGCCGGGGAGGGGGCAGGAAGGGATGCTTGGCTCCTCACTAACAGTCAAAATCATTCTCCTGCATTGCCTTGGAGCACGTGGGGAAACTGAGGCAGGAGCTGTGAGCCCTGGTTGTCAGTTCCCATCGACCGTCAAAGCCCCTGGGGCTGGGGGGGAGCCTGGGTGTCCCAGCCCTTCCCTGCCCTCCTGGGAGCCTCCAGGCCACTGCGATGCCTCGGCCCCCCTGCTGTCCCCCGCAGTCTGCCTGCCCCGGGACCCTTCGCTGCCCCCGGACCTGGGTTGTGCTTCTGCTGCCCCTCGGGGTGGCGGTGCTGGAGCACGATGAGGTGCACCCAGTCGATGTAGTTGGAGATCTTGGTGAAAATGTCGGGGTACCGGCGGTCCCCGCATCTCTGCCCGGAGAAGGAGACGATGCCGTAAACCTTCCTCTTGAAGACCAGAGGTCCCCCGGAGTCACCCTGCGGAGCGAGGGGAGGGGAGGCAGGGATAGCACCCCCCCGGGCCGGGGGGGGGCCGGGGCCGGGCCGCACTCACCGCGCAGACGCCCCGCAGCGTGGCGTTGCGGCTGGCCCCGCACAGCATGTTGGCCGAGACGCGGCCCCGCCACAGCGTGCGGCACAGGCTGCGCCTGACGATGGCCGTGCCGGTCTCCATCAGCTGCTCGGGGCGCTCCCCGTAGTTGGAGATGTCCCCCCAGCCCAGCACCACGCAGCTGGTCCCGGGCTTCAGGTCAACGTGCGGCGAGGGCAGGCGGATGCGCTTCACGAACTTGTTCAGCGTGGCCGACCTGTTCAGCTGGGCAGGGAGCGGGGGGCGCGGGTTCCTCCTTGCCCCCCCCCCCCTCGGGTCGAGGCAGACCCCCCAGCACACAGCTGCTGCCCCCCACCCATCCCAGACCAGCCCTGCTGCTGCCGGGGCCCCCTCTCCCCACCGCCCCGGCCCCGGCTGATTTTGGAGCCCCCGCGCCCCGGGAGCGGTCCCGGTCTGGATGGAGGACGGGGGGGCGCGGGCAGCCCCCCCCCCAGCCCCTCCTCGGCCGCCTCCAGCGCCGCTCCCCGGCGAAGCGCTGACACCTAGCGGCGGCCGGGCCGGGCGCGGGGACCGGCCGGGACCCCCCCGGGGACCCCCAGCGGGGGGGCGCGGGGCTCACCCTGAGCAGGCGGATGTCGTTGTCCACCGTGCGGGGGTCGTAGAGGGGGTGCGCGATGGACTCCTCCACGCCGAAGACCTGCTGCGACTCCTCGGGCTGCTCCAGCCGGTGGGCGCCCAGCACCACGCGCACCGAGGGGTTGCGCCTGCGGCCCCGGGGGGCACCGTGAGTGGGCTGGGGGCCCCCGGGGACGGAGAGCAGAAGGGGAACGGGCAGGCGGGGGGGCTGCTCCAGCGCCACGTAACCCCCCCAGGACGGGAGCATCCGTCCATGTTGGGCCAGGTCCCCACGGGGCCACGCCGTGCCCTGCGGAGGGGACCGGAGCCCGTGCCCCCCCCCGGAACGCCGCTCACCTGGGGATGGGGCAGTGGGCTGCCGTCATCACCCACTTGGGCCAGACGAGGAAGCCCCCGCAGAAGTGCTGCCCGTCCATCTGGATGGAGGCGATGAAGGGCCAGGAGTGGGGCAGCGCTGCCTTCCCCCCGATCACCCGGCTGCCGTGGGCACCTGGGGGGTGCGGGCGCTCAGCGGCTGCGGGGGGACCCCAGCGCCACCCACGGGTGCTCAGGCTCCAGCCCCAGGCCCCTCGTCCCCACCCTGGCTGGCTGGGGGGGACCGGCCCCGCAGCCCCGGCCGTCCCCGTTACCTGCTGGGCCCAGCGCCGGGAGCAGCACGGAGCCCCCCAGGCTGAGGATGAGCAGAGCGGTGACCATGCTGGTGCGGTGTGGGCCTCTGCCACCTCCTGTGGGGCCACCTAGGGTGCGTGGGGGGGGTTAAATAGCCCTGGAGGGGGGGTGCTGTGGGCTGCAGTCACGGTGCGGATGCTGGCGGGTTTCCTCCTCAGGGTGTTGCTGCCTTGTGCAATCACGATGCAGTGGGGGGCATGGGCAGTGCAATGTTCTGGTCTGTGGGGGCTCTGCAGGCCCGGGGGGGGGCTCAGGCTCTCTGTCCCCAGGGCTGCGGAGCCAGCCTGGCCTGCGGCACCGCTCGGCAGCTTCCCTTGGATCGGGCTGCTCACTGGGAGGGGAGCGGGTTAAGGAAGGAAGAGTGAAAGCAGGGCAGCTTCCAGCCCCGGCCTGGCGGCTCTCGTGCCTTGAACTAACTGGGATGAAATCCTGCTCTTGGCGCAGCGGGGGCGAGCAGGGCCCTGCCATGGCCCGAGGACACTCCCCAGCATGTGGCAGCGCACATGCCACCCCCCCAGGGATGCTGCGTGGCTCTGGGCCTGTGCCCATGCACGGGGGCTGCAGCCCCTGGTCCAGATCCCCAGCTGGGAGGGCTGGGGGTCTGACAGCTGGGGGTCCCGTGGTTGGGGGTCCCGTGGTTGGGGGTCCCGTGGTCGGGGGTCCCGTGGTTGGGGTGCCCCTGCCATGGAGCTGGGCTCACTCCTGGGTGGGTGAGGAGCTCGTGCCCCTGGATTTCTTCACACCGCCGTGGTTTGAGCCTCGGCCCGGGCTTCCTGTGTCAGTTTGCCAGCGTTTACCCAACAAAACTGTCAGCGGGAAAAGGGGGAGCCGGGGGGGGGGGGGGCAGCCCCGGCCCTGCTGAGGGTCGCTCCTGGCACCCCCGGGGTTGTGTGGAGGTGCTGGGAGCGGGGCGTCCGGCCGGGACCGGGGGACCCCTCCGGGGGTGGGGGGCTCAGCCCGGGGCGGGGGGCTCGGGCAGGAGCCGGCATCGCCCGCGGCCCCCCCGGTTCCTCGCAGCCGGACCCGGCTTCGGGGTCCCCGCACCCCGAAAGCGGCCGCGGGAGCGCCCGGGGACGGCGGCGGCGGGCGGGGAGCGCCGCGCCCCGAGGCCGGGTGAGGGGCGGCGGCAGTGGCGGGGCGCGCCCGGCAGACGGAGCTGTGCGGGAGGCGGCGGCACCGGCGCGGCCCCGCCATCCCTGCGCATCCCGCAGCCCCGCCGGGGATGCCGCCGCCCGCCGGGCCCTGAGCGCCGGGACGCCGGCGGCCGCCGGCCCCGCTCCGCCGCGCCCTCGCCCGGCCCCCCCTTATCCCCCCCCACCCCAACGCCCCCGCCCCGGACCCGCGGAGCCCGCCTGGAAGATGGAGTGAGTACCGGGGCCGCGCCGCCCCCCACCCCCCGGCACCCCCGCACCGGGCCGCGGGTCCCCCGGTGCCGCGCACCGCAGTGCCGGGGCGGGGGCCGGGGCTCCGGACCCCCCCCTGCGCTCCCCACGGCGGGGTCGCGGTACCGAGGGCTCGGGGAGGCGACACCGGCGGCTCGCGTGTCCCCCCCCCTCCTCCCGGTGCGGGGCTCCCGGACCCCCAGAACCGGGACTCGCGCCCCCCCCCCCCCCTCCCCGCCGGTCCCGGGGTCTCGCGTTCCAGAACCGGGGGCTCGGGGCCCCCATCCTCGGTGCCGCGTCCGCCCCGGTGCCGGGGGCTCGGCCCCCGCTGCTGCTCGGTGGGGGCTGCCCCCGGTGCCTGCCCCCCCCATCCCTGCCGCGGGGTGCCGGGGGGCGGCGGTGGGGGCCCGGGGCTGGCGCGGGGGCTGCGGGGGGCGAGTCCCTGCTGGGGGGGGGGGGGGGTGGAAGGGCGGCGATTTGGGCGGCTCGGACCTGTTGTTGCTGCTGCGTGTGGCTGGGGGCGAGTGGGTGGCGGGGAGCCCGCGGCCCCCTCCCTGCGCACGCAGCCCCCATCCCTCGGCGAGGGGCCTGGGGGGCAGCCCCGGGGGCTTCTCGCAGCCCGGCTCCTGCCGGGGGGGGGGCTCCGGGCGAGCCCGGGGATGCTCTCCCGGCCCCGACCTTCTTTGTGTGCCGCGGTGGGGCCCTGCCCCGCTCGGCTGCTGCCTGCGGCCGGCTCCGGGCTGGGCGCGGGGCTCCGCGGGTGGATGGGGAGAGGGGGCCACGGGTGGGGGGCGCCCTGCCCGTGCTGGTCGTGCCCCTCGGGAGGGCAGGGGGCTGCTGCTCAAAGCCAGGTGCCAGCGGGGGCAGCCCCATCACACCCAGGCCTTCCCTTCCCTCCCGTGCTCCAGTCCCCCCCCGGCACGATGGGGACCCCGGCATCTCCTGGGTTCGGCACCGGGGGCTTTGGGGGGCATCCATCCAGCCCAGCCTGGGGGCCTGCTCCTTGTGAGCGCCTCGCCCCGCATCAATTAATGGGCTGCCTGCTAATGAGGTGCTGGGTGCTCGACTGGTCCTGCTCGGCTGCCGGCTGCCCCCGGTTTGGGGGAGCCCTGCTGGGGGTGCTGGAGGCGGTCGGGGTGGTTGCTGCCTGCTGTTGGGGTTGGATTCTGGCTCGCTGAGAGTGGTGGGGGAGGCACCAGCAGGGGCCTGGGAGGGTTTCAGAGGCCTGGGTGCAACGTTTGGGATGGAAATGGGGAGGGGGCCAGCCCCCAGGCCTGGTGACAGCTCAGGGCAGGGTGGCAGCTCCTGTCCCCAGCTCCCCCAGGCCACATCTCCCAGCTCCACTCCTCCCTCCTGAGCCCCTCTGACACCGGGGGCTGAGGGATAGACCCCGCTGGCAGCCCCCAGGGACAAGGAGCCCTTTGGGAATGTGCCAGGGCTGTTGTCTGTGTGCTGGAAATACCAGACTGTTCTCCTCTTGACTAAAATCCCGGCTAGGGAAACGTGCCCTGGAGGTGAGAGGTGAGCACGGGGCTGAGCAGTGAAGCAGAGCCCCAGCGTGCGCGGCTTCTGTTTGGGCAGCTTCAGCGCAGCCCCTCCTGGGCGCTCAGGGTTTGTCTCTCCTGGAGATGGGGCTTGAGATTTTGGGCTGGAACACATGTGCAAAAGTTACTGCTGGCTGGCGTGCCGACACGTGTTCTCCCTGGGCAGCTGTGGGGGTGTGAGCAGACCTACAGCTCCAGCGCTCCTGCGCCGGCTTCCACCGCGGGTCAGTCGTGCTCTGCTAAATTCAGCCCCTGGTCGCTGGGATGGGGGCGTAGGAAAGCCCCGGGTCAGGAGAGGCCCACGGCAAAGCACTCCCTGGACCCAGGCCTGGCTCTGCGGCCGCTAATGCGCGCTGGGCAGCGTGCTCCGGGCTTGGGCTGGCTCTTGCCTTTCCTTGGCGTTGGCAGCAGCTGGAGGAGGGTGCTGGCCGCGGCGAGCTGCTGGTGCCAAGGGAGGTTTGGCTAAAAGCTTCCAGCTCTGTAAGAGCTGCGGGTCCCATCGGGGCTGCTCTGCTGTCCCCTGCTCCTGCTGCTATTGATGCTGCTGAGTAGCTGGAGATTTTGCATCTCCACTTCTGGCTGCTCTGACAGCTCTTCCCTGTGCCTTGTTGTGCCTCCCCCAGCCTTCTGGCCTCCCCGGGAGCTGGGTGCTCTCCTGCTCCTGCCCTTCCCCATCGTCCCTAGCCCTGATCAGGAGCCCAGAGCCTTGCAGAGGGGCAGGAGGGAGATTTCAGCCCTGGGGGTAACCTGGGGGCTCTCCCGCTGGGTGGGACTCGGGGTCCTGCTCTCCCCTCCACGTGCCTCTGTGATGAAGTAAAACCCGGTCCGCCGTGGTTCCCAAATGTCCCGGAGGAAGCCATAAAGCTCGGCCGCAGACAGCCGCACAATGGCACCGCAGCCCCCGCGCCAGGAACCGGGGCTCGGAGCTCGGCCCCGCAGCCGCCAGCCACAGCCCCGCAGCCCCTCAAGTGCGCCGGGCTGGGCAGGAACTGGAGCAAGAGCAGGTTTCCTTGGGAAACTGCTGCTGCAAGCTCTCCTGGTTCCTGGCCAGAAATAGCCACCTTCCCCTGCGCTGGGGGGGCAGCTCACACCTTCCGCACCGCGCCGGGCTCGGCCAGATGGGCTTCAGCACTGGAGTGCTGAAGTGGGGCTGGGGTGGGTGGGCAGGGGGCTCTGCCTGGGGGAGCCTCTCCTGGGCCCCCCACACTGGTTGCTGAAGAGCAAGGCTGGGACGTGGAAAGGACGTGCACAGGTCTGAGGGGTCAGGACAGGCCTGAGGGACGGCACAGAGCTCGGGGCTGGAGGCAGAGGCGGTGGCGGGGCCCTGATCTGCCGAGTCTGTACTTAGCACTCGCACCCACTGGGAGGGGAGCGGGGCCCCTCAGGCCCCAGACAGTCCCGGGGGGTGAGGATGAGGCCTCCAGCAGCCCCGGAGCTCCCGTCAGGGAGGGGAGCCCAGGCTGGACCTGCTCCAGGCAGGTGCTTCCTCGTGCGGAGGAGCTGGACGTGGTGTGAGGACAGAGCTCCCCGCCGGGGGCTGCGGGTGCTGGCTCAGGGCTCGGTGTCCTGCCAGGGCTCTGCACATGAACCGCATCCCTGCGGGATGTGAGGAGCCTCGTGTGCCTTCATCTTCCTGGCGCTGGCGTGGGAAAGCTGTGGTGCCTCGAAGGAGCGAGGAGCGGGGACAACGTGACACCGCTGGGGTGGCCACGTCCCCAGCTGGTGCTGGAGCTGCTGGGCTGCCCGGGGGGAGGCTCTGCTCTCATTCATAAATCGTGTGGGTGTTTCCTAGTGGAGCCTTGCTCCTCTAACTGGGAGGGAGCTGGAAACCCAAGTGTTTGGAGGGCACTCGAACCATTGTTTGAAAGATCTGTAATTTTCCAATCAAACTCTCTCCTTGAGCCTCCGTTCATCAAATATTCATAGGATCCATTTTCTCCTGGCACTCCCAGCCCACGTCTCAGCCCCGAGAATCAATCAGGCAGCTCTGCTGCTCTAATGCATCCTGCGTTTTCGGGAGCTGCCACCCCTCCTCCTGCCTCCCACCCCTCCCAATCCCATCCCCTCCCCAGGCAGCCCGGCTGCGCGCAGCGGGGGCCCGGCCTTTCCTTGTCCCTTCCCTTCCAGCCTGCTGGCTGATGATTTATTTGCCTTCGCTGTCGATGGCTGTCGGCCCCGGGCTGCTGCAGCCCCCTCCCCTCCGCACCCAGCTACGGGTGAGGGTGTTTGAGGGCGGCCCCGCTGCCCGTGGCGGTGCTTTGGGGGGCTTGTGGCTGCCCCACGGCAGCAGCACTCGGGGCCTGCTTTCCCCGGGGGTCTGGCTCTTGGTGTACACCAGCACCGCTCCTGCGTGGCTGCCTGAGCTGCTGCTGCTTGCGCCCGTGCTGGGCCCCGCACCAGGGCTCGTCTCGCCGGGGCCTCTCCCTGCCCTGCGCTCTGGCTCGGAGCTGAGCGGGTGGGAACGGAGCGGAGGTCAGGGGAGCGGAGGAGCAGCTTGAAACGGCTCTTCGCACATTTGGATGAGCTAATGGGAAAAAACAGAGGAAGGCAAATAAACATTATTGTTTCATGTCAGGCGGGGAGGAGACAAAAGGTCACGGGCTTCCCTTGTGATGGTGGAAACAGCGGCATCAGCAGGGCTGGAAAGAGCTGGAGAGCCGGGCAGGGAGCGCGGTGCGTGCTCGGGGCGTGTGCGTGCGCACACGTGGGCGCGTGGCTCTGCCCGAGGACTGCTGCCGTAGCAGGGGGAGTTCCCCCGGTGCCGTCCGTGCCCCCGGTCCCAGCGGCCTCATTTGTTGTGCCACGGCCACGAGGCGCATCGGAACCGGCTGGAGGAGCTGCCCCGGGACGGGCAGGGCTGGGACATGCGTGCGGAGGGCAGCGGGCGAAGCATGAACCTGTTTGCAGGAGCGCACGAGACCGGGTGAAATGAGGCGCGGCGGAGGAAGGGGTTGCTTTGTTGTTTTTTTTTCTGCCCTTATGGTTCCCGAGGGGGGTGACAGCCCCAGACTTGGTGCCCCAGGGGGCTCCTTTCTGCCCCTCAGGGGCACCCCGGCTGAGGCCGGAGCTTGGCGCTGCCGAGGCCTCCCGGGGAGCCCTGGAGCTGCCGAGTCCTTGGCCCGGCTGCGTCCTGGCCCCAGCCCTGCTGCTGGGCCCCCTCGGTCCCCGGGGCATCAGCATCCTCCCTCCCGCGTTGCCATGGCGCCGTTGCCAGGGCGCCGTTGCCATGGTGATGTTGCCAGGGCGCCCGGCTTGGCGCGGCCATCCCTCATCCCTCATCCCTCATCCCTCATCCCTCATCCCTCATCCCTCATCCCTCGTCCCTCGTCCCTCGTCCCTCGTCCCTTGTCCCTCTTCCTGGGGCTGCTGCCCCCCAGGACAGCCGGGGCTGGGGAGCGGCTGCTTGGGGGGAGCCTGGGGTGACCCCAACCCCAGCCCACCCCGGGGCTCCACTCACCAGCCCCCAGACCTGGGGGCCCTATGAAGCACGGTGACCCCCCTGGGATGGTGCAGGGCAGGGACTGGGGGGCTGGAGGGGGCTGTAGGAGCCCCCCCGCCCACCCTTCTGCCCCCACGCCCTGTCCCCGTGGGTAGGGGTCTGGGGGCTCCGGGGTCAGCCCCACCCTGCTCCTTCTCGGGGTCCTGGGGTTGAGGGATGAGCAACCCGGAGCCTTGTGGCAGGGCTGGGGTGCACCCGGGGCTGGGTCCGGGGGGGCAGCAAGGGGGCGTCCAGCCTGTTCTGCGCCTTTCCCTGGGCCAGGAAGATTCCTGGCGTTCACCCCGGGAATGCAGAGGCTTCAGCAAATAATGGAAAATAAAGAGGATGGAGGAAAAGCAGAACAGAACGTTTCAGGAACACTGAAAAAGTTTGGATCTGTTGCACATGGGCAAGATCCAGGAAAGAAACGGGCTTCGGGCCAAAGTCCTCCGAGGCCGGGGTGCCGAGAGCCGGGCTCAGAGGGTGCCCCTGGCCCCGGAGCAGGGTGGTCCTGGCACGGGGCACCCCGGGGCTGCCTGGTCCCACGGCTGGCGCAGGGGAGGGCGCGGGGAGCCCTTGGAGAGCCCACGGGTGGGGGGGCTGCCGAGGGGGGGCTGCAGGGTGCAGGCGGTCTGGGGGCTGCAAGGGGGTCAGGACGGCGGGGATGGAGCAGGGCCAGCCCCCGGTGCCCTCCGCGTCCTGCGGGACAGGGAGCAGGGAGCAGGGAGCAGGGGTGAGAACGGGACCCGCGGCCGCTCCGCCTCCCTTTGGGGTTTTCAGTATTTAATTTCCCAGCTCGGGCGCAGCGTGGGGACGGCAGGCGGGCTGCCAGCCCGCTGACAAATGGAGGCTGCTGACAGCGGGCGGGCGCATGCGTGCGTGTGCGGAGCAGCCACGGCATCACCCCAAACTGCACCAAAATAACCGCCCCAAAGCGGCACCGGCCCCTGCTTTGTTTGTCTGGCCCTGATTTCACGCGCTGCCAGGATCTGGGTGCGGGGGAACCGCTGCCTTCCTGGGGGAGGAGGACGGAGGCGGGGGGGCTCCTCTCGTACCAGCAGGACGTGGGGCCAGGCCTGGCCCCGGGGGGGTGCCGTGTGCGGGGAGCAGGTGAAGGTCACCGCGGGGCATCACGTTTTCCATGACCCCTTCAGGAAATGTCCCCGTTGTTTTTCCGGGGCTTTCTGGAAGCAGGCAATGTTTTGCATGCCATGGAAATGTTTTGCTTGGGGTGGGGATGGGGAAAACAGCCAGAACACAGCACCGTCGGAGGGCAGCTGGGAGGGGATGAGCAGAGGGGCACTTGCAGGGGAGCTGTGAAAATGGGTTCGCACTTGGCCCGCTTCTCCCCGAGACTCGCTCCCTTTGCTCCTGCCCCCTCCTGGGCTCCTGCCGTCCCTCGCTCTGGCAAGCAAATGGCAACGATCCATCGCCTTACGCCACCGCCGAGCCTCCCACCCTAATTACTGCCGCAGCTCAGCGCTTCGTTAGCATCGGCTGGCACGCAGCCCGCCTGCTCCCGGCGGCACCGCAGCCTCCCCAGGTCGCAGACGGGCCCCGGGCGGGCGTCTCCAGCCCGGCTGCGCCCGCACCTGGTGCTCTGCGGCACGTCGGGGCCGTGTGTCTGTGCACGTCCGTGTGTCTGTGCCTGCGTGCGCGTGGCGCTGTGTCTGTGCACATCCCCGTGTCCGTGCTCCTTGGTGTGTCCGTGTCTGCACTGTGCGCACACAGGGAGGGGTCTCTGTGCAGGAAAGGTGTCGGCAGCCAAGGAAGGGGCTCGCCATGGGCAGTGCGAGGCGGGTGGAGCAGGGGGCGGCCAGAAGCGCCCCGCTCCAGCACCTCGGTGGGTACCACGTCCACCTGCGTGCCGCGGGGTCACCGCCAGCAGCACGGGGACGGCGGCGAGCAGGGAGCGGGTGCCTGGAGGAGACGTGCGGGGCGAGGAGTGCTCAGCTGCGGGGTGGCGAAGGGCAGGGGAGGCAGCAGCCGGCGGAAGGGACGAGCTCGGCCTTTGTCTGTGCGTGGTGTCGGGCACAATGTCCGCATTCAGCGCGCTTCACAGCCGCTCTGTGCTCTCTTGCAGGGCTGTGGAGACCAGCACCCTTCAGCAGGAGAGGCTGCAGGCCATCGCGGTGAGTCCCCTCGGGCGAGCAGGTGGCACCTGGCTGCTGGCCCCGTGTCCCGACCCCAAGGAGGTGACCCCCCGGGACCCCCGGGGCTTGGTTCTGCACCTCTGGACCAGGGGCAGAGCTGGCGGCTGGGAGGGTTAATTAACGAAGTGGCACCTTGATGAGCTCTGAGGGAGAGGGAAACGAGTGAGGAGCCCCCCTTTGCCCTTCCTGAGAGCTGGGGCTCGTGCAGGACCCTGGCCCTGTGTGGGGCAGGCTCTGCCCTGCCCCTGCCCCTGCCCCTGCCCCGCAGCAGCTCCCTGGCCCCTGGTGCTGCCGGCAGCTGCCAGCTCCCCGCTCCCCACTCCCCATCGCTATCGGCCGATCTGCGCTGTACAAAGGGCAAATTGTTTGGGGCCAGAGGAGGAAAAAAAGCGAGTGACGCTTCCCGGGACTGGGACTGACTCTGCTAAAATAATCTGGACCGACCCCAGGATGTGCAGCGAGGCGGGGCCGGGGGAAGAGGCCGCGCGGGGCTGGGTTCCCAACGCCGGCTCTCGCTCAGCAGGGCCAGGCAGAAAGAGCCCCTGCTCTGCGCCCTCCCTGCCTCAGTTTCCCCTGGAAAAGTTTCACCTTGGCGAGGTGCAGTCCCCGGGGGGGGGGGGGCGGACGAGGGGCTCCAGCCGTGCAGACCCGAGCCCGGAGGCTGCTCCCCCGGGATGGAGGCGCCCCCCTGCCAGCCGTGCCCGCTGCTGCCCCTGCCCCAGGCTGACCCCGGCCGTGCCGCTGTCCCGTCCCCACAGGAGAAGCGGAAACGCCAGACGGAGATCGAGAACAAGAGGCGGCAGCTCGAGGATGACCGGCGGCAGCTGCAGCACCTCAAGGTGAGGACCCCCCCCCTGGGGACCCCTCCTCTGCTCCAGGGATGGGCCTGGAGCCCCCGGCCCCGGGGGTGACAGGACCGTGACCCCCCCCCCCTCCCCGTGCTCCCCAGTCCAAGGCTCTGCGGGAGAGGTGGCTGCTGGAGGGGGCCCCGTCCTCCGCCTCCGAGGAGGATGAGGCGATGAAGAAGCAAATGCAGGAGGATGAAGTGAAGACCAAGGAGCTGGAGGAAACCATCCAGAGGTAACGGGGCCGGGGGTGGCGGTGCGGGCTGGTGCCGGGGAGCCCTTGGGTGGTCGTGACAGGAGGTGAGGGGGGGCAGCCCCCTCCCAGCCCCCCGGTGCCGGGACGCTGATGGGGAGAAAGGGGCAGGGACCCCCCAGCGGTGTCCCGGCAGCCCGGCAGGAATGCACCCGGTACCCTGGCTTCGCTCGTTAATTACCGGTTAATTACTGAGCATCCGAGCGGGGCGGCCAGGCACGAAGGGGGCTTTGTGTCCGTGTAATGGCGCGGGGCATTCCTCCGGGCAGCTCGTGGGGAGACGGAACCAAAGGCTGGGCGGAGGTGCCCTGGTTCACACGGGGGGGACATGGGGGGGGCTCTGGGGGCCGGGGGGAGTTTTGCCAGGCCGATGGCCGGGGCTTTTTCCTGGGGAATGTGATCGGGATGAACGCTTCTGGGAGCAAAACGTGGACGGAGTGGGGTCACCCTGTGCCACTCTGTGCCACCAGCCGGTGGTGGGGCTCAGAGCCCGCGGGGGGGGGTCGGTGTCGGTCTGTCCGTCTGTCCCTGGCTGCGTGGCGCTGCTCCGTGCTCCCCGGTCTGAGCGCAGCCCCCGTCCCGGTTCCTTCCCCAGGCTGGAGAAGGAGCTGGAGACCCTGGAGAACAGCAGCTCGGTGGCGTCCACCAAGGAGAACCTGGCTGAGGTGGCGGCGGTGCCGGCCAAGGAGGAGAAGGCCGAGATCGTCCCCAACGCGCAGAAGGTGGGCACGGCCAAACCCTGCGGGCAGGGTGGGCAGGGGGTGAGGGGGCGAGGGGCTGCGTCTGGGGGGGTCTGTGCTTGGTGCCTCGCCACTGGGGCTGGGTGCACGGTGCAGGGCGTCCCCTGCTCCTAACCTCGCTCTTCTGTCTTGCAGAGTCCCCTGGGCACAGCCGTAGGTAGGTGACCCTGCACCCCACGTCCCCCGTGCAGGGGGAGCCCGTCCAGGTGGCAGCAGGAGGCTCTGTCTGCCCCGGGGCCCTCCCGTGGGCGCGTGTGGGGCACGTGGGTGGCTGGGGCTCAGCTCAGGGCGTCGCTTCTCCTCTCCACCCCCAGCCAAGAAGGTCTCCAGCAGCCCCATGAAGGCGGTGGAAGGCACGGACATGATGAAGGCAGGTACGTGCCCGCTGCCACGCGAGGAGCACTCCCTCCTGGTTGCTTCCCTCCTCCCGCCCCGTGGCATCTTTCAGCTCACCACTCAGTGCTCAGCCCGTCCTGCAGCCCTGCCACCAATGATCCCCACCGCTCCATGAGTTTCCAAGCCTAGGGCATCAAATATCGGTTATTTGCCATCGCAGGGTTCGTGTTCAGTGGGATCCCGCGGCTGGTTTGCAGTTCAGGGCCCCCATCCCCTCCCTATTCCATGTCTCTGCTCCAGTTTCATCCTTTGCCTCCTGCTGTTTGTGGCTTCTCGGTGCGAGGGCGAGCAGAGACGCGGGGCCGGGGCCGGGGCTGCCTGCCCACGGGGGCTTGCAGAGGTGCGGGGAGCAGGCAGGGGCTGCGGGGCTGCAGCAGCCGGCACCGAGCTGCCTGTGCTGGGACGGGGCTGGAGCTCCTGGAGAGATTCGCTCTGGTCTGGGGACGCTCAGACCGAGCTGTGGCACCGGGAAGAACCCAGAACCCAGCTCTGTGCCCACGGAGCCGAGTGCCACCGGGCCACGGTGACCCCAGTGCCTGCGGGAAGCAGCCGGGGAGCTGAAGGATCAGTGCCGAGGATCGCCCGTCCCACGGAGCGCAGGGGCTGCCCGGCCCCCTCGGCCAGAACCAGCACCCTCAGCGCCGCGTCCCACGAGCGTGATCCTGGCCCCGAGCCCAGGCCCCCGCGGTTGGCCCCGCTCGCTGGCCGGACAGACGGAGGTAAGGGGATGCCGGCAGCACCAGGACGGTGAGAGCCCTGTGGGTCCTGTAGGAGGGCTGTGCCCGGGATGTCGCACCTGCCTCTGCCTCCACTCCTCCTCGCTGCAGCCTGCTGCCTTGCTAACGCCGCTGAGCACCGCTGAGCACCGCTGAGCACCGCTGAGCACCGCGCCGTGCCGCTGCGCCTGCCCGCTGCTGGCTGCTGAGCACGGGCTGGGGAGGGCCGGGGCCGCCGTGACGCTCACTGTGCTCTTTGTGTCCCAGCCATGTACTCAGTGGAGATCACGGTGGAGAAGGACAGAGTTACTGGGGAGACCAAGGTCCTGTCCAGCACCACCCTTCTCCCCCAGAACCATTGTCTGCAGGGGGTCAAAGTGTACGAGGATGAGCTAAAAGGTAGGGCCCCATCCCGCACCGCCGGCAGGCGTCAGGAGCACAGGGCAGGGGACGAGGGCCCAGCTGCCCGAGCATCCCGTGGGCACCAGGGTGAGGAAGGGCCGGGGCGGCTCCTGCTGCCTCCACCGGCTCCACGGGGGAACTGGCTCAGGGCAAGCCCTCGACAGCCCGTCCTGCGCCCCAGCCAGCCCGGCGTGGGAGCCAGCCCAGCACCATGATGTGGATGGTCCTGAGGGGCCAGCCTGGGTTTGCACATCAAGGCCCTGTGCTGATGGGGAGCACGGAAGAGGATCGGCTGTGTCCAGAGCTCCAGGAGCTCTGTTAAACCAAACAGCGTCTCACCAGCGAGGCGATGGTACTGGCATCGCATCCATGTCACAGGCACCTCCCGGCCAGGGACAGGATGTGGCTGAGCAGCTGGGCTGCTGGGGATCGCTGCGACCCTGCGCCACCCAGGCTGGCAGCACAGAGCCCATCCCCTGGGTGCAGAGAAGAAGCAGCTACAGGGAGCAGTGCCTGCTTTTGGGGCACCCCAGGAACCTGCTTTGATGGTGCTGGTGGCACCGAGGGACGGCTGTGTCAGCGAGGACTGACTGCGGAGCTGCAGAAAACGACCGGGAGCTGCGGTGGCTGAGCAGACCCTGGGCTCCATGGGCTGGCCACAGCTGGCCCTGCTCCACGATGTCCTCCCTGCAGAAGGAGGGACTGTCACCGTCACCTCCATCACCTCCGTCACCTCCACCACCTCTATCAGTCACCTGCCTCAGCACAGTGGGACCCCGCGCTGCCCGGGGGCCCAGGACCCCCCGTTCCCAAGGAGGTGCCGCGGAGCCCCCCTGGCAGCGAGCAGCCCGGGTCCCTCCAGGCTGAGCCAGCCCTGCCTGGCCCGGTCATTATCTGTTATCGCTCGTCTGCCTGCGCTCCGTGGCTGTGGCACTGATCATCACATGATGCTCCAAGTCAAGTGGAAAATGCGATGCTCTGGGTGCATCCCTCACCGCCGAGCACGGCTCCTCCTGCCCTGCAGCGCTGCCCGTGCCCATGTGCTGCGCAGCAGCAGCAGAAGACCCCGTCCCTCGGCGGGCACGGGGCCCCCGGGCACTGCAGGCACTGGGGCGTGGTGGGACCGGGCGCTCAGCTCGGGGACCCGCTGCAAAGCATCGCCTCGGCCCGGGGCCTGGGTTCAGAGGTGCCAAGGGCTGGGAGCGGCTCCTCAGTGGTGCCGTTGGTGCAGCCGCGCCACTCGCTGCACGGAGCAGGGGCTGGGAGGGCCGGGGGCTGCCAGGAGGTGAGCCTGGCCTGGGGACAAGGGGACAGCACGGGGGAGCCGGGCTGCACGAGCGGGGCTCGTCCCGGTGCAGTCCGAGCCCCCTCCCCGCCACCCCTCACCTCCTGCTCTTGTCCCCGCAGTGGTGCACGCGGTGAGCGCCGAGGCTGGGGCCCTGCAGAACGGGGCGCACCCGCTCAGCTCCTCGGAGGTGGACGAGCTCCTGCACAAGGCGGACGAGGTGACCCTGAGCGAGGCCAAGGCGGGCGAGGAGGCGGCCGGCAGCGCCCCGTCCAGCCAGAAGCCGACGCCGCGCAGGGAGATCACGGGGCTGCAGGCGAAGCCAAGGGAAAACTCCACAGCGCTGCCGCCGGGCGAGGGCGCGGAGCCGAGCCGGGAGCAGCCGGTCACCATGATCTTCATGGGCTACCAGAACGTGGAAGACGAGAACGAGACCAAGAAGGTGCTGGGGCTGGAGGGCACCATCAAGGCCGAGCTGGTGGTGATCGAGGACGCCGAGAGCAAGCTGGAGCCGGCGGGCAAGGACCACGCACCGCCCAACGGCACCGCGCTGGAGCCTGCGGCCGCCCCGCAGCAGGGGGAGGAGGCCCCGGGCGGGCAGAAGCCGGGCGCCAACGCCACGGAAGCCAAGGAGGCCGAGCAGGACATGGACGCGAAGAAGCAGCGCTGCAAATGCTGCACGGTGATGTGAGCCCCGCGGCCGGCCAGAGCAGGCTGCCCCCGCTGAGCCCCTCCGCCCCCGCTCCCCAGGCCCGCGGCCCCGCAGGACACAGGGTTACCCCCTGGCCAGACGCAGCCCCCTTTTTTCTGAAGAACCGGGGAAATCCAATGCGGTGGCTGTAAAGCCGAAGGCGGCAGCACACCGAGGCCGTGGCATCGCTCGCCCCGTCTGTCCAACGCCCGCTCCGTGCGACACCCCCAGTGCTGCGTGTAATATTTATTAGAGACCCCCCCCCCACGCCCCACGTTTCGCCTGCCCCTCCCCACGGCCCTGCCTCCCCCCGGCGCACACACCGGGAGCGTTTCCCTCCCTCCTCCAGCAATTTCCCACCCGCCGTTGGAAGACGGACGCCGGCCGGGCCAGGGGTCAGTGACAAATCCAGCAGCCGGCAGGACCCGCGGTCACCCAGCCCGCGGCAGGCACGGCGTGAAGCCCCCCGCCAGCCCTTCCCCTGCACCTCCAGCGCCATTTCTCCAGCACATCCCTGGCCCGGCTCCATGCCGGGGGCTTGGCCATCGTCGGCTCCGTGATGCTGGGCTCGGCCGGGCTGTCGGAGCGGTGCCAGGAGCGTGCAGGGTGCCGTGGACCAGGCACAGCTCCCCCGGGGCAGGCGCAGCCTGGGTCCGTGCAGGGAGCCTGGCTCCGCTCTCCTGGACTCCTCCTCTCCATGCAGGGGCTCCTCGCCCTGCTGCTCGTGGTGACGGCAGCCACCGGCCAGGTACCGATGCCACCACCGCTGCCGTGGGGCCGTTCCAACACCTCAGCTGCCCTGCTGGTGTCACTGGGCTCCAGCACCCAAGGGGGGCTGAGCGGGGCCGTGTCTGGGTGCCCACCGCCCACCCAGGGGGGCGGCGATGGCTGGGGGCAGCGAGCAGCGGGGGAGCGGGGGGTCCCAGCCCACGGGGATGGGATCAGGGCTTGGACCTGCCCGTGATACCCCGCAGCAGCGGGAGGGTGGCCCAGAGCCCCCCAGCCCTGCCCTGGGGTGGCCCCTGCACCCTCACCACATCCTCCTGGCCCCAGGCAGCTTTGCAGAGCCGGCTTGCGGGTCACCAGTGTCAGGTCCCCGGCCCAGTTCACCCCAGGTGCTGGGACTGGGGCCTGCTGGGGGGACTGGTGTCCCGTGCAGGGTGTCCCTGGGACACTGTCTCTGCCCTGGCTGCGGCGTGGTGGAGGTGGGGGCCGTAGCCCCGTGCCAGGACCGCCAGCAGCCTCCCCACTCCCCTGCCCCACGCCCCAGCCCATCGGCGGGGATTTCACCACCAGCATTCGCGTTTCCTCCCCACTGAGACCTTCTGGGGCAGCAGGGGGGGGTCCACCGTGGCTGGCCGGGCACCCGTGGGTGCTGAGCCTGGCCCAAACCCTGGGAGCTGCTGGCAAAGCATCCAGCGCGGGCAGGGCTCCTGCTGGGAGCCCCCAGCTCCCCCAGCCCGGTCCCCGAGGTCCTGGTCCTGGGTCCCTGCTGCAGCACGAAGCCGGGGGCCCTGCTGTGACGTCCCAGCTGCTGCCCCAGTGCCACCGAGGCTGCGGCTTTACCCCAGTTGTGTCTGCAGGGCAGGGAGCAGGGGCTGGGGGCTGCGGGGGGCTGCGGGGGCTGGCGGTGCTGCAGTGTGGGGTCTCCTGGGGGGGGCCCTGTCCCTGAGCCGTGCGCCAAAAGCCTCTGGGAGAGGCAGAGCCCCGTGGGGGCAGGGGCAGAGCCTCTCCTGCCACTGGCAGGGACACGGCTGGCGGACCCCCGGTCCTAGGGTGTGTGTGATGTGGGGGGCTGGGGCTGGATGCTGGGGGGCATCGGCCCCATTAATCCCTGGGGGTCAGGGCTGGGTCCCCCGCGGGGTCCCACGTCACCTCCCACCACCCCTCCCTGGGTGCTGATCCCCAACCAGGCCCCCTGCCGCCCTTGGCACCCCCCAGCCCCCCGGTTGCCTTCGGACCCAGCGTTGGCCCCTGGCAGAGGCAGGGTCAGGATCAGGCCCCGTGGGTTGGGGCTGTGGGGGGGCAGCAGCAGCGAGGAGCCCGGCCGTGCCCCAGCCCCGTCCCGGCGAGCCCCGCGCCGTCCCCCCGCCTGGCTCAGCTGAAGTGCACTTCCCGCGCCCCCCCCGTGCTTTTTACTTGTGACGAAGCCGTTTGAAGTTCCCCCCCTCCCCGACACCCCCCCCCCCGTTGTTTGTAAGACACCCGAACCGAGCAAATAAAACTGTGTGAACAACCAGCCCCGCGCCTCCGCCTCTGCCTGGGACCACCTCGCCCCCACCGCTCGCACCCCGAGGTGGGCGCTGGGCACGGGGGTGGGAAGGGGCCGGGAGGGGGGTGCTGGGGAGGGGACAGTGGCTGGAGGTTGGGTCCATCCCCATTGAGCACCACGGGGTAAGGCAGTGCACCAGTGGGGTCGGGAGCAGGGTCTGGCCCCATCTCCCCAGGCCCCCCCATGCTGCCCCCCCCCAACTGCGCTGCCTCGGCTCCGTCTCCTCTTGCCCCTGCCCGGAGGCTTCCCGTCAGCCTCTGTCCTTCGCCTGCTCCACGAGTGCAAGGGTCGCGGGCAGGGGGATTCCTGCTGCCTCCTTGCCTTGGCAGCGTTCCCGTGCCGTGCTGGCAGCGGGGCTGTGCCGGTGCCCCGTGCTCTGACCCGGGGTCCCCATCTCCTCCCCGCACCGGCACCGAGCACCCTGCTCCCCCTGGATCACCGGGGCTGAGCCCGTGTGGGGCGGAGGCGGAGGTGCTGCCTGGCCAGGCTCCAGCGCCGCCAGGTCTCCCTGCGGGATAAATCCCCCGGCTTCCTCCCAGCAGGGTGCCGGAGGCACTCGGTCAGGGTGCCGGCCAGCTGGGTGCTGCCTTCGCGCCCTGCTGTGCCCCGGAGGTGTCCGTCCCCAGAGCGACGGTGACAACACAGGAGGGGGATGTTCAAGTACACCCCGCCGTGGCAGGTCCTCTGTGCCACCCTGGAGCCCAGGGCGCAGGTAAGGGCGGGCAGCCTGCCTGTCACCCCCGCACCGCCGCGTCCCCGAGGTGGCAGCAGGGGACGGGGAGGGGGCACCGGGATACTGCGAGGAAAGGGAGGTGCTGCAGCTGGCGGGCACGCAGAGGTGAAGATGTGGCAGCCTGGGCTCCTGCTTGTCACAAGGGGATGGTGCTGGGGTCAGGACCCTCCGGGGACCACCGCTGTGCAGCCGAGGGTCTCTGCCCACCTCCAGGCTGGTGGGGGTCCCAGGCTGGGCTCAGGGAGGGCAGTGCCGGTGCTGGGATCCCAGGGGTCATTCTGGGCAACGGGGCCCCGGCCCTGCCCGCTGGCAGAGCTGCCCGGTGCCAGCCCCGGGCTGTGCACACATCCGCACCCGCCGCAGGGTGTGGTGCTCGCCCGTGCCCCGCGGCCGCTGGCGTGGACTTTGTCTCAGCCCCACGGTAAAACAGGCACCGCGCTCCCTCCCGGAAACGCACAGCCGCCCGTGGCCGCGCCGGAGGCACCATCCCCGCGCCCAGCAGGTGCCGGCTGCTCGCCCTCAGGAGCGGGACGGGTGCCACAGGCCGCGCAGGGTGAGTCGGGGTTCCCAGTGCCCCACAGCTGGGGCGAGTCGGGATTTACACCCCTGCCCTGCTCGGGCCTGGGGCCGGCAGCCGGGGCTGGGCCGTGCGAGAGGAGCGGGGTCTGGCGGGGCGCGGGGCTGTGGCAGGGGCCGCAGGACGAGGACATGGCCAGAGGACGAGGATGGGGACATCCGGACCCAGGTGCAGGCGCAGCGAGGGCAGAGCACGGTGGCACGGGGGGCACCACCCAGGCCGGCCGTGCCGCCTGGTGCCAGGCCGGGCAGGGCGCCCTCGGTGCTGGCTGCTGGCGGCGCTGCCGGGCTCCGGCACCCGTGGCCCAGGGCAGCAGGAGCACTGCAGCCACCGTGGGGCTGTGCTCGCCCGTTGCATACAACGGCTCGAGGTCTCTGAACCGCCACAGGGGCTGCTGCCCGCTGCCGGAGCTGCTTTGGTTGGTCCCCAGGCAGGACGAGGCCCGAGGGGGCTGGCGGGGGCAGCGGGGCCGGGAGCACCGGGGCTGCCACAGCGCCCGCCCCAGCCCTGCCTGCACAAACAGGGGGGGTTATCAGGCAGCTGGCACGGGGAAAGCTGGGCCGGGAGAGGCCCCATGGTGTAAACAGGAGAGTGCGAGCGGCCTCAGCGGTGACTCCCTGCTGTTTGCTCAGCCCGCGGGCTCCTCTGCACAGCTCCCGGCTGCACCCTGGGGCCAGGCTGCGGCACCCGCGGCTCCCTGAGCACTGGGGATGCTGGTGGCCAACTGGCCGTGCCCCCACCCCACCTCCCCGCTGGGGGCTGCCTGCTCGCAGGGAAGCAGCACGAGCTCTTCCCCTGTTTGTGCTCCTCCATGGGGAGATCACAGCCACACAGCCAGGGTGGAAGAGCGCCTGGCACCCCCCTGCTCTTTGGGGTTTCGGGGCTCCTCAGCGCCGCAGTTGTGTCCGTGGAGAGGCAGAGGGTGCCCAGAGGAGGGGGCACGGTGCATTAGCACGCCAACACGGTGCTGCAACGCGCAGCACGGCGCTGCCTTGGCACACGGCCACGTTGGTGCCCCAGCTGTGCCGGTGCGCTGCTCATTGGTGTGCGCCAGGGGCCGTGGGCCAAGGGCACGGAGGCTGTGCCGGCGTGGGAGCCGTTGGCAGCAGGGCGATGGGTGGCGTGGGGGGGCTGGGAACGGGTCATTGAACCCAGGCCAGTGATGAGCCCAGCTGAATTCTTGGAATTCCTCCACGGGGCTCAGGCTGAGCTTATCAGGGCCACGCAGCCCTGGGCCGCCCCGGCAGCACCCACACCCCACCGCCGCCCGGCCAGGCCACTCCCTGAGGACGCAGCTCAGGCGGGTGCCACCCTGGGGCACGGGGACCCCCGCGCCGATGGCTCCAGGACAGTAAGTGCGGTGTGGTGGGGCAGGAGCCAGGGCTCAGGGTGGCTGTCCCCACAGCACCAGGGGCACCGGTGCCACGCAGCGGGGTGGGCGCAGGGGGTACGTGCGTACCCCAGCCCTATCCAGAGGTGGTGTGGGCGTGGGGCTCGCTGGCTCACTCCTGGGTGTCCCAGGCGTGCCAGCAGGACTGGGGGCACAGGGGCCTGTGCACGGGGTGTATGAGCTCAGGGCAGGCAGGGGCCGGGCAGGCGATGCCTCGTCTGTGCCCTGGGTTGGTGCCAGTGCCACCAGGTGCCGCAGCCCAGAGACGTGGTTGGGAGCTGGGGCACTGCCTCCTCTGCCCCTCGCCGGTGGGTGCCACTGCTGGGCACAGCGGTGCCACGAGGATGGCAGCACCGTGCCGTGCCCGCTGCGGGATCCCCGGGGTGGGGGGACCCTGGGAAGCACCCGGTGCCTGTTTGATGGTGAGGGCGGCCGGTGCACACTGTGGTGCTGCCCGGCCCAGCTCCCCCCAGTCCTGCACCCCCAGGGCTGAGCCGGGTCAGGCTCTGTGGGCACGGCTCTGCCTGGGGCTGGGCCTGCCGGGGGTGCTGCCCCCCCCCGCTCCTCTCCTTGCCCCCCTCTCCTCCTGCTGCCAGCAACCTGAGCTCCCCAGCACTCCCAGCAAGGACTTTTGCCCCCTCCAAACACGATTACCTGTGGGCAAGTTTTCATTACCCGTGTCACCACTGACTGTAAACGGGTAATAATGAGTTACGGGAAGGAAAATAAAGAGGCTGTGGGAATCCAGCTGGGCACGGAGCAGCTGGGGGGGGGCATTTCCCTGCAGAGCCCAGGCCTGTTACTGCTGAAGGCAGTGGGGTTAAACTATGCAGGGGCCTCTCCCTGCGCCCTGGGACACCCCAGCTGCCCCTAACGCTGTCAGCGCTGCCCAGCCCCAGGTGCTGCCCCCAGGGGAAGGCTGAAATAGCCCCGGCTGAGGGGCTGAGGAGGGGCTGTGGATGCTGCAGGGGATGCACGGCCACAGCTCCCTGACCCGCCTGGGGAAGTGGTGGCGGGGTCGTGGTGACAGCACTGCTCACCCGGCCCCCTCGGAGCTGCGGCATCCCACTGGGAGCAGTGTTCCCTGCTGGGGGCAGGGACCCACCTGGGCTGCCCCTCCCTGCCCGGGCACCCACTTTGTCACCGAGCTATGGCTCGGTTGGCAGCGGGAGGACCCACACCAAGGTCAGGGCAGGCGTTTCCTCCCGGTGTGCGTGACAGATGGGGTAAAGTCCCATGCTTTTTATGAGCCATGAAACCGTTTTTATGATCCTTGCTGTTTCAATAGTCTCAGAGACTTGGAGCTTCCTTCCCATAAACACGCAAGGAGAAATTCCAGGCGGAGGTGGGCACGGTGGCGTCAGTGCCTGTCCCAGCTGTGGGCACACGTCCCCGGTGCCACCCATGGTGGATGTGTGCCGAAACCCACGGCCAGGGCGAGGACAGAGCGGGCAGGAGCTGCCCAGGGGTGGGGATGGGGGCTGAGGGCAGAGGATGAGTGCTGGGTTGGGGAGGGAGCTGCGCCGCTCCGACTTCTGCTCCTTGAGCTTCTCCCGACGGCTTTTCTCCCCTCAGGGCCAGCAGGATCCTGCCCTCTGCTCAACACCTCCTCAGGTGAGCCCGGAGCCCGAGGGTGCCCGCGAGGCCGAGCAGTGCCCCCAGCCTCAGGAAGGTGCAGATTTGGATGCTGACTCCTGCCAGGACATGGACAGGGTCACCAGGCACCTGGTCTTCCAGCTCCCGCAGACGGCGCACCGACACGACCACGCGCCCGCGGATGGCGACGACGACGTTTTTGGGTCCTCTCAGTACGGCAGCCAGAGGGTGGAAAATGGCTACGAGTGGAGAACGAGGATGAAGTCACCCTCGTATTTCCTGGATGGTGGGAAGGACGTCTGGACCCCTTCCCCCGACAGGGAGTCCAGGCTGGAGGTGGTTCGGTCGGGAAGCCTGTACGACCTGAGGGCCTACAGGGGTGAGAGGAAGCCCTCGAGGCTTTACGAGGACGACGAGCAGGAGCAGTACAGGCTCCATCCACCAAACATCTCACCTGAGAAAGCAAAGGAGCTGGAGGACGAGAGGAGGGAGGTGATCCGGGGGCAGGTGGTGAGGAAGAGCTCCACCATGGCCGAGCGGTGGAGCTCCATGGATGAGCTGAGCTCCATCAACGTGGGCGCGGGCGGCCAGGGGGATGCCAAGCACAAGGGCAGCAGCACCTCCAGCTTCGGCATTTACTTCGACAAGGCATCCTCGGGGAGGGCAGCAACGCCCATCGACCCCGAAAGCATAGACAGGGAGCAGATCAACTTCGCCGCCGCCCGGCAGCAGTTCCTGATGCTGGAGAAGACCAGCCCGGGCTCGCTGCTCAGCCCGGGGCAGCACGCCGTGTCTCCAAAGCCAGAGGCGATGACAAGAATCTCCAGGCAGGAGTGGCACAGTCCTGAGACCGCCACGAAGGCTGAGAGAGGTTACGGCGACGCCGCCGTGCCCAGCCAGGGCAGGACGGACACCAGCACCTACCAGGTGTACAACGTCTCCTACAGGACGCCCGTGAAGGCGGAGGGAAGGGATGATGCCGGGAGGTTTTATCACACGGGGAAAACGTCCAGCCTGACCAAAGCGTCGTCCAGAGATGACCTGGACTCTGGCCTGGGGGAGATGTACACCGAGGGCAGCACGGGCTACGTCAGCAATGGAAGCGTGGAGGCCTTCAATGGCCTCGTGGACGTGAGGAACAGCAGCAGCAGCCCCGACAAGGAGCTGAAGGCCAGCAACGAGACGCCCATCGAGCGGGAGATCCGCAGGGCACTGGAGAGGGAGGAGAACCTCTGGAAGGAGAGGGGCATCCAGCGGCTGACCTCCAGCAGCGAGCTGGTGGAAATCCAGACCAAGCCTCTGCTCTCCATGCACGCGTCTCCTGTTCCGGGCAGGAAAGGGAAGGACAAAAGCCGCGCTTCCTTCTACGTCCAGCGGGAAATAGAGCAGGAAACCAAGCGCGAAGAGGATCTGAAGAGGCAAGGGCGGCTGCTGGGGCTGTACGACCGGGGGACACAGCAGGAGCTGGACGAGCGCAAGAAGGTGTTCGAGCAGGAGGAAACCCCCCCGCCCAAACCGGCCCCCGCGAGAAGGGCGGAGGAGCGGAGGAGCTGGGTCCACGAGGAGCAGCCCTCGAGCCACGGCTCCGGCCCCGCGGAGGACACGGGGGCCGGGAGAGCCCTGTCCACCTACACGGTGACCCTGACGCGCTCCGTGCCGCCCGCCGGCGAGAGGGGCCGCGGGGAGCCCCCGGTGCACGACCACGCTTCCGCCAGCGCCGGCCGATGGGCACGTGAGGATTCCCAGGGAGGAAGGCTGCCCGGCTCCACCCCGAGCCCCGCGGCAGCGGGCGTCCTGCGCAAGGAGCACTTCTCCTTCCCCTTCTGGAAGCCCAGGATCTCCTTCGTGGACGACATGGGGACGCAGAGCCCGCTGAGGAGGGAGAAGGGGCCGGACGGGGAGGACGGCCGGGACGAGCAGTACACGCTGAGGACGTGGAAGCCCCAAACGTCGGCGCTGATCGAGGAGGAGATTCGGAGCGACCTGCAGCGGGAAGAGGAGCTGCAGGAGCAGCGCCGGCGGCGGCTGCTGTTCGAAGGCTCCCTGGGCAGCAGCGACGGCTTCTCCAGGGAGAGCTCCCACTCGCGCCACAGCTCAGGTAAGGGGAGGAAAGGCCCAGAAGTGCCCGGTGCACGCATTGCCCCTTCCTTGGTGCTGGCACCCAGGGGTGGGCTCCCAGCGGTGACCACGGACCCGCAGAGGTCCGGTCCTGGGGCTGGAGCCCAGCCCCGCCGTGGGTGCCTCCATCCCCGGGATCGTGCTCCCTGCAGCCCTCGCAGCCCCCTCAGCCCGGCCCCTCTTTCTCTCCCCAAGCCGCCTCAGGTGCCAGCGGCAGCTACTCGGTGTCGGGGTCCCCGGTGCCCACCCCCTCCTCGCGCCAGGCGGGGGTCCTGGGCCTGGTGTCGTCCTTCACCCCGCTGCGCGTGGCGGCCCCCGGCCCGGACAGCAGCGACAGCCTCAGCCCCGACTCGGCTCACTCCAGCGCCTTCGAGGAGAGGAGGAGGAGGACGAAGGAGGACGGCAAGGTGAGCGCACGGGGGGTGCTGGGGGTGCCCCGGGGGCGGCAGCGTGGGCTCCCTGCCCTGCTGGGTCTGGTGCCGGAGGCTGGGGGGGGTGGAAGGACCCCGCCGTCTGCTGGGGGTCCTGGCCCAGGGGACCCCCGTGGTCCCCGTGCCGTGCTCACACGGCCTGCGCCCACCTCCCCCGGCATCCCCCTGTGGCCACGGCTCTGAACCTCTTTTCCTTCCTTTTCCCAGTACGCAGGCATTGAGCCCGTGGACAAAATCAACACGGAGGTAAGGCCCCTCCTGCCCCTGGGGGACGGGGATCGGGGGGCTTGGGGGGTCCCTGCCCGGGGCCGCTGCTCCAGCCCCGAGCGGCCGGGGGGGGGCAGGCGCCGCGCGGGGCCGGACGCCAAGGGCGGGAGCCCCAGTTAGGGGGAGGGCAAGTTGTGCGGAAAGGATTGCTTTTTTTTATCCATAAAAGTGTTTTTGTGACAAATCGTGCTTTCTGGTCCCCCCAGGTGGTGGAGAGCACGCGGGTGGGGCGGCACAAGAGCGCCATGGCGCAGCGCTGGGAGGCCGGGCTCTACGTGCGGGACGAGGACTGAGCTGCCCCGGGGGGCTGCCACCCGCAGGGACTCACACATCGCAAATTGCATCCGTTTTTAATAGAACAGATGATCCTTCCGATAAATTAAACGTGCTCGTTTGTGTCCCCCCCCTTCCCCCTGAGATGAAATAATACTTACGTAAGGGGGTAAGAATCAGATCCCTTTCTTTTAATTTCTTCTGCCAGGAGACAGCTAGATGAAGAGAAATCATACGGTAATTTAACTTCTTTCTCATTGCAAGCTGTGTCCCTTACAAAAACAAGTTTTATTTCTGAGTGGTTTTAGGTTTTCAGGTGCTGCAGCCCCAGCCGGGGGGGTGCCGCTGGATCAACACCGAGCTGGGAAATCGAGGTTTCTGATTACGTCAGGCAATCTGCTGAAGCGCAGTGATATCTAACATGTATTAATGCTGTTTATTTTGCTAATTTATTAAAGAGTCATTGCTCTCATTCCTCCTGCTGTGTTGTTTGCCCAAACGCTCCGCTGGTTCTGCAGCTGGGGGTTAAAACGAGCGCGGGTGTTTCGGGAGGCCGGGGCCATGCCTCCCGCTGCCGGCACCGAGGGGCGAGGGGGTCCCTGGCCCCCTGGCGGCTCCAGCAGGGCCCCGCCGTGCCTCCCGGTGCCCCCCGGGGCCGTGCAGCGCCCGCTGGCACCGAGCTCGGGCAAATTAATTTGCCTGCGCTGGATCTGGGTCTCCACCACAAGCAACTGCTTCTTAATTGAGACGCAAAGATGACAAGCAGGGGGGGAGCTGCTGGATCATCCCGGGTGGTTCTCTGTTCCTCTTGGGCCGCACAATGAAGAGGGGACAGGACGGGGCCGTGTCCAGCCACGTCTCTGGGTATGCCCTGCGTGCTCCTGGGCAGCTGGAGACACCGGGCAGCGGCAAGCCCAGGGCTTTTGGTCGTGCTTCTTGCAGAAAATAAATGTTCCTAGAAATCGGGTTCCACCACATATGTACATAAATGCATTTTATTAAACAAGCAAACGAAATTGGGACACTGCCTTGCTTTAATTCTTCTTTCAAAGTAGAAGTGTTTCCAAGTCCCCTAACCGAGGCCTCTCAGAAGCCCTTTTTGCAGAAGACACTGCTCCTAGCAACAGCCTACGCTGGGTAATTTCCTAATTATTTAAAATGTTTACAGTGCGAGCTGCTGTGACGTGCTGGGACAGTTACTCGAAATTTCTGAAAACGCTCGGCCCTCGCTTCTACACAACGAAACATTTCTGGGGCTGATCCCTTCTTCTGTGAGCAGCAATTAATAAATACCCTTGATGAGATCTAATTTAGCCATCTACACAGGATGCTACTCCTTTGTTTGACGTGCAGTTAACCAGAAATTTAGCTTAGAAACATTGTAAGACAAATAAAAGGATCCACAGATATCCTCCCACGTACAGAGGCAAGTGACTTTCCCCTGGCATGTGACCGCGGCGAGCGCAGGGTTTTGGGGAGGGACGAGGGCTGCTTTCCCTCCCCAGGCTCCTTCCCACCGTAAGGCGTGGGGGCGGCAGGGCCCTGCTCGCGGATTTACTGCGTTTGCTTCGTGTTTGCTTTGTTGTTTTTTCCCGCAGCAAGGCAGAGAACCAAGAGATGCCGGTGTGACTGAGAAAGGATGAAGTGGATTCTGCTGACTAACTGCGCCACCTGGTTTTTGAGGTAGCAGCCTTTCATTGAGGAGCTTTGGGGCGTGGACTGAACAGGTCAGCACAGAGGAAATAAAAGGCTGAGCTGCCTGCTGTCTTCTTGTTTCATCCAGCCAGAGTAAACCTGAGCCCTGTGGGAAAGGGTTTGCTCTGGCTCTCGGTGCCTGGTTGCAATTTGCCCCACGGAGCTCCACGCGTGGCCGTTCCCGAGCTGGGCACGGCAGGTTTGCAGGTTCCTGCAGCTGCTGCACTACAAACGCAGGCTGTGGTGGGCAGCACGAGGAAAGCTGGAAGGCTCTGAGCGTTTGATGGAGTGAGTTTGTCTTTTTATGGCTCCTCAAGCACCTGTGAGTTACTTGGTGATGTTAAACTTGAACGGGGCTGCTTCTGGTGAAGACCTTGGCCACAAAGGCCTCCTGAAGAGCCCCTGACTGGGGGCTCAGGGGGATTTCAAACGCCCAAAGCCCGCACAGGGCTGGCTCTGTAGCCAGGAGCACCGGCAGGCTGGCTGCAGAGGAGAGCAGTGAGTGTGCTGGTGTTCTGGGAAGCTGTCACCCGGTGGTTCAGGCTTACTGGTTCACCCTTGTAGAACAGACAAACAGTACTAAGTAAGACTTAATTTTATTAGAACATGTCAACAGTTCACTCCAACAACCGGACTGTAAGAGTACATTGACCGAACAGCAACAGGACAGCCGAAACAAGGTTTAAGCCTACTGAAGGCTGCTTTTGTGGCTATTCTTAGTGCCCTGGGGAAAAGGCCATAAAACTTTTCAACGCTGTCAGATATTTAAATAACTTTTAAAAACAGTCAGAATTTCTTAAATCTATGAATCTTTCACTAAGAAAAATGACATAAACCTTGTTGAAAGCATTCCTATGAGCTATGGATTAGCAGCTGGCAAACACGGTATTTCATCATCCTCCTTCCACCCCACAACGAGCTCACGGTATTTATCTTTTTATGATAGGCTGTGACACAGCAGACTAAATACAGTTTGCAAGTGTCAGCTCCCCTAAATACAAGCGCAGCTTGTTATTCAGCTGCAGAGCCCTCTCCCTGGTAGTGCAGCTTTTTTATCATGTCACTAATAATAGAGTAGAACGTTAACTTTTCACGTTTGTAAAAATAGAACTCTCATATTTATTTAACTTACTGAATTACCAATTCTGTTAAGAAAAAGAACAATAGAAGTTTTTCACTTCTCCTGAAAGCTAAAGTAATGCAAATCTGTAGATGTTGGAAGGTGACACTGAAGGGATGGATGTTTCCTTCAACCTCTGCTAACTGTCGCTACTTAAACCTTTCAAACATACTTTGGAACAGGCTCCTAGCCAAGTGGCACAACAGAAACCAGCGGCTACCTTTACTTCTTGGCCTTCATATTTGTTCCTTTGACTTGCTGGATAATAACTTTCAGCATCTTTTCCATTTTGGATTTTGTCAGTGATTTTCTACAGTACCACACTTGGTCCCACATGGAGTAGAGGGGCTTGGGAGACAGGTAGAGCGGATCGTAGTCGTGAAGCATGTCCAGCGGCCTCTTCTTAGCGTACATCTTGTAGTCCTGGATCGGACAGTTATCTGGGTTGTCAGGCCTGGCAAAGAGGTGTGCAGCTGCTTCCCCCGTAGTTTCCTCTGCGTGGAGGTCGTTCTTCCATGCCAGGTACTCCAGCCCTGCCTCATCCTTTCTTAGCACCAGCTGTCCCCAGTACAGGTTCTGGCTGTGATTGTGTGTGCTTGCCCCAAACCCCCTAATGATATTTATGAGCATCAGGTGCAGAAAGCCCTGAGGGGTCAACTGACTCAATAGCCCTTTCTTACGAAGGACATCCACGTTTTCATCCGTCAGGTTCTCTAAAATAGTCCACTCTCCCTCTCTCTCTTTTTGAGACAGATGCTGATACTTCAGTTTTAAGGCTTCCTGAGACGTTCTGAATTCCGCTCCTTTAACCACGCTGTACTCATAGTTGTGATCCTTCAGGTATCTCTCAATGCTGCTCTGGAAGAAGTACAAAGAGTTGGCGGAAAAATCCATGCCGTTTTGTTTCTTTGCGGAGTTGTAGAACCAGGCCAGGTAATTATCGAGGTCTTCAGGTGGCAGCTTGTAGATCTCGCGCGCTTCAGAGGGGCAGTGTAAAACCAGCCAGTCTCTGAAAATCTTGATGTCGCCAGCATTCCGGTTTTTCTTCTTCAGCCCATCTAAAAGATAAGAAACAGCACTGTGAACAGCACGAACTAGCAAGATCAGCAAAATAAAAGGGGGCGCAGAACAATGTTCACCTCCCTTTTAAAAGCAAGTCAGACTGAGACTGTCACGGACCCCTTCCCTTAAAGCTCTGGTTTTATCTGTGTTCTCAGCCAGCCCGCACCACTTGACAGCACTAGTCTAGGCAGGACTGCTCCCTGCCCTGTTCCTTCTCACTTGCCTGGTGAATCTGCATGCTATCAGCAAGGTAAATGTAAGATTCTCTTTCTTTTAGAATCCTGTTTAATGGGGACAGAATGATTGCCCGGTGAGATTTCATCACTGAATGGGATTGTGGGACTCACGGGGTGGAAAGCACTGGTGCAAGTTTTATGGGCTATTTGGGACAGCAACAGGACTGGAAACGGGAGTTGTCGTTGGTGGCTTGTCCTTACGTTGGCAAGGGACTGAATTTCACCCCCGCTGACTTTAGAGCTGGTTCTGTGTGTTTGTGGGACCGCTCCCGTACCCACTCACTGCGGTGCTGGCCCCGAGGCTCCAGCAGTCCAGAATGGCCTCGCTGTCCTTCAGCAATTTGCAGCTACTCTGGCAGTGCCTTGTGGTGACTGCAGGGGCCACGCTCGGCTCTGCTAAAATAGCTGGGAGTTGGCTTGTGCTGTGATCTGCCTCGGGACCGAGTGGCATCCATCTCGTATGTTCAAAGCCTTGTAGCAGATGCTATGTAAAACACATTTCAAAGCGTTCCCCTGCACGGAAACCTCTCCAGGGCAGGAGAGCTCTCATTGTGCAATAAAAACATTAATGAAAGTTAGGGGTGAATAGTAAGGAAGCAGCAAAAGATGAGTAAAAGTGTATTTTTAAAAAAGGGTTGCCAGGATTCCAGTTGGGTTCTTTCTCAAGTTGCTATGGCAATACCACATCCACCTAGTTCGATGTAGCATGAGAAATTAATTCTTTGGATTGCTGAAAAGCTCCATCTGCTCGCCTGTGACTTTTCCAGGGCTGGGGAGGGGTAGATTAAAAAGGGTTCTAGAGCCAACACCTAGAAATTCCCTTTTGTACACCAAATTATTTTGTACACGCTTAGTTGTTATCTTAAAATGCTGTGGCGGGATTGAGGTGGATTCTACTGATCCCTACTGATCCCCGTGCTGCTGTTCTGGTGCTTTGCCTTTGTTATTGACTGATCTACGTGAAGAGATGAATGGCTTGTAAATCAATACATGCATGCAAAGGCCTCGCTTGAGCCATAAGCCATTTATCTTGACAGGAACAGCGATTGCACAGACGTTCCCAGGTGAATTCCCCGTCCCTCCTGATGATGTACGTTGTCAATTACAAAAACAGGGCTCATAAAACAACTGCACCAGTGTGCATTGTTGTGGCTACGCAACGCTGAGCACATTGAGGAGGACCACTGGTGCTTTAACTACACCCACTGTGGTACAGACAAACCCCACGTGCTTTCAGTAACCTGCTTGCTCTTAGGGGCTGCTGGGCTGTGTGGGTACGCGGGTGTCGGGGGACTCAGTGCGTGGAGGTGAGAGGCGTGCTCTTGGCCGCTCTTCCTGTTAGGTGGAGCCAGGGCATTAAGCTACTGGAAGGAAGAGAGATGCTCTGACTTGAACCAAATTTTCAAAGTTTGCCTCCGTGTTTATGCCCAGATGCTAGCAGACAAAAACGTAAAAATGCCGAGGCAGCAGTTTTCCTGGTGGTACTGTGCGACACCACCTGCAGGCATGCAAATCATAGAGGCAAATGTTGTGGCTCTGCCTTAGCATCTTTAAAATCCTGGGCATTTGCATTTTATTTGAGGTGTTTAATCATTAAGTAACGTGTATGTACCTGGCATCAAGGATCCGGTGCACAACATATATCCTAAAACACGATCACTTAAATCAATTTTATTGATAGTTTCCCCACTGCTTGCATCGTTGTGATAGTGCCTGCACGCTGCGTGCCAGCTGTTCCTTCTCACGCAGACGGTGTCTGTCCTACAGCAGGATTAGAACAGCCACTGGCTGGGCTGTTCTCATGACAGGGAGTCATTTAAAATACACTGTGCGTGACTTAGCCTTGGTGTTGGAAGCTCCCTGGTAAGCAGTGGATCTCGCAAGTTAACGTTTGTGAAATTATATTTTCCCCCACTCCAGCAGGATTCCAAGGACAGCATGTAGGAAGATACCAAAAATTTTGGTCCCATTGCTGTCTCTGGGATTTTTTGTCATTCATTTCAGTGAAGCCAGAGATTCAGCCCCAATTTCTCCATTTCACTGCTTTAAAAGTTACTTCCTTGTGCTTTTTTCTCTTGAGACCAGAGTTCATGTCTCTGGTTCCAGCTTCTCACAGGGATTCTCTCTTAAGTACAGCCAACACGCTGCATGGTGATACTGAACAAAATGAAAGACCAAAGTATTCAAACTGGATATTTTAGGCTGGGCCACAGCCAAGTGTACATTCGGGTAGCACAGTGAATGCCATCATCTACTGAAGCAATGATTGCTTAAGCTAGGAACCTTTTTTAGCCCCTTTCAGTAGAAATAGCATGCCCTCTATCAGCTGCACTTATTTTGATGCCCCAGTACAGATTTTGGCGCTCTACCAAGTCCCCCTCCAGGTGATTAACAAAACATACCCACATGCCCACCAACCCTCCCAGGAATAAAGCTCCAGACTATCTTACTTTTGTTTGAGGATGAATGCTCCAAATTCTTGTTTTCTGGGCTCAGTGAGGCTGAGTGATGAGCTGTAAGCTCAGACACCGATGGTTTGCTCCCCTCAGGAGGGTTTTCAGCAGCATTCCCACTGAAGCCTGTTCCTGGTGTGCCACACTCGGGACAGCACAGTTGGAGTTGCTGCTGGACATCTACAGAGGTTTCAAACTGAAAGAATGCCACAGAGGTGGGTGCCTCTAGTTGGGCTTTTGCTTCAGTGCTGGAGACAGAAATCTGTTTTAATGGTTCCTTTGGTGTTGCTGACCCGGTGGAATTCCTTGCTCTAGAAGTTTCACTTGTGAACTCCACAGGATTAAGAGGACCTTGATGCATGAAGCTGCTCTCCAGGATCTTCTGATTGCTTACAGGGGATTTTTGAATAGAGAGAAGAGCTAAGGGTGGCTTTTCTGTGGGGGCAAAGCCAGATGTGGGAGTGGCTGGCTGCTTGGGAATTGCAGTCTTCTGATCATGATGCATTTGCAAATCTACCTCAGCAGTTACACAGCTAGTTGGTGGTGAGTCTGACCAAATATTCTGTCTGATTCTGTCTCCTTGGTTTTCTGCATCCGATACATGCTGTTCATCATCAGAGATGATTTGTGGATCTTCATCGCTTCCTAGATTCACTGTATGTGCGTCTGTTTTGATTTCACCTCTGGACACATGCTGTTCTGCTGCAAAGCAGGGTTTCATGGATTTGCTGCTTTTCTGATTTTCTCTGGGTGCTGGTTCATTGTGTACTATGTAGACTGTGTCATCTCTTTGTTGAGTGACCCCTGGAGATCTGCTACGTGATCCTGTGGCAGCAGTGCCTCTTCTAGCCCTCTCAAAAGGTGAGGTTACCCTGATCCTCTTTTCACCTGAGTTAGCTTCCCTCGATGGAGCCTCGCAGGACGTTTGCCTCTTTCTCTTTTCTACAGCTTCATTCTCTTCTCTGCTTCTGAAGTGTAGTTTTCCACACGGCCAGTGATACGCATGTCCACCCCCACACATCCACAGGATAGAATTCTCTCTGCTGGGATGCCCCGAGCTCTGCACCGCTTCCAAGGCTGGGAGTTGTTTGCAGATATTGCCATGAGTGTGTGCCCAGGTGACAAGGTTGGAAAGATCCATGCAGAGTGAACTGCCATCGCTGCACCTTTCAGCACTGACGCTCTCGTTCTGCAAAAACATGTTGGGAGTAAATTAAGTGGAAGAGTATGTGCATGACACAGCAGTCCTGGGACCGTTTCCATCCCACCTCAACAGAGTAATAATTCCAAATCAGTGATCCTTCTACTGATTCTATTTGTGTACTTTAAAAAAAATAAGTCTACTTTGAAGACCTAGAGGTCTTGCTCAATACTTGAGCATGGTCCTGGAACGAGAAGTTTATAATAGATATTGCATACTTATGTGCTCAGGGTCTTGGTCAAGTAGCTCAACTTAAGAATTTATCATGCCACAGCAGCAGTGCATGTGTTCTACAGCCACAGCACCACTGAGATCGACATTCTCACTGAGCCACCAAGCCTCTACCATAGCGCAGGGGATGGGAAGGCAACTTGCGAAGTGCAGTGCTGTCTGTGGGGCTGAGTCCTGCGATCCAAGCAAGCTTGTACCCAATTCTGTACTCCCTTATGGGAAATGTAACGGGGAAGTGTCAGGAATCAGCTTCTCAGTCTCCCACTTCCCCGCAGCCAGCAGGGCTCGTCGCTCTTTTGACTGTGAAATGGTAGCACTCCTGGCACCAAAGGGAAATCGGACACATGAAGCTGTCTGTAGGATGCTTTTCAGAGACAGAAGAGTGAACCTTGCACCCCTGTATCTAAAATTTGTTTTAAAAGATCTACATTTTTTAATGTTATAACTGATTCTGTTAGAAAGAATCACCTATGGGATCGTTTATTCCATAAAATACACTCACCATGCTGCTGGTTTCTATCTCACCGAGTGCTCGTTCGGGTGGAGTTCAGTAAGTGACTGTCGGAATATCCTTTCCTTCTCAGAACCTAAAATACACATTGTGTGTGTGTATGTAATATATTTATTACATAGTTAAATTCTCTGGCTAGCAGATGCCACTAGTTTTTGGGCACTTTGATTACAATCTGTGGCTAGCGATCTTTAATTCCACAAATGGAGCGAACTGCAGAAACAGAAGGGCCAGAAATCATGAAGTGACTTGTAACATTATCTGAGTTTTCAAATACTGACAAGAGGCAGTTTCCTAGTTAAAGGGTTCTCTGCATCTGTAATTCATGTTTACTAGAGAAAATCCGAAATTCTCCCATCGGTTTTGAAAACTTCCATGGAGTAGTCTGGAGCAGCATGGCAATTTCTGTGTAACAGGTAGAGGAGAGGTCAGAGAGGTGACGTTCATTCCTGTCGGTGTGTATATTGCAACTGAGCCAAGAAACCTGACCGTGCCTTATGGGACTGATCCAGCACACATTTATAGTTCCTAATGGCAGCCCGTACCCCAGGCTGCTTAGTCTATTATTAATTAAAAATTTTGCCATAAGTGGTGGCAAAAGATGCCAGAAGGAACACACTGGACTGGCATCTCGTCTGGGCTGGCCCTGCGAGCAGCTCTGGCCGAACGTGAGGCCGCTTCCCTTGGCTCTGAGCAGTTCCCGTGAGCGCATCCTTGCCCTGCGCCTGAGCTCGAGCCTCGGGGCCGGCTGCCAGCTCCGGGCGCTCCTGTTCTGAGCCAGCTGCAGAGGATGGAAGAAGCCCATCCCAGCTGACAGCCACAGCGCTGCTCTGCTTCTGTGAATGTGGTGTTTGTCTGCAGGGATTTATTTCGTGGGCATGTTAGTTAAACTGAGGGGAAGCCTGCCGGCGCGCAGGCTGGGAAGCGGCTGTAGTGCAGCCGTCTGTTCACGTGCCAGCAGCTGAGGCAGAGGCTGTGCTGCTGCCCGTAGTGCCCAATCTCTGCCCTGCCGTGCTCGCCAGGCCCATGCAGGGCGAGGAGAGGCCGGGACGAGGCCGAGCAGCCCTGTCTGGAGGCTGGGAAGGATGAGTGTGGCCGCCTGGGCTGCCGGCCCCATCTGCGAGGCGAGGTGGGGACACAGGGAGCGGAGGTGGGAGGAGGTCGTTGTGATCACGACAGACAAATCCCAGGGAGCACGGAACTGCTGCTTGGCCAGCATCCTGCGCTGGAGAGCTCCTGGAAGCGTGTTTACAGCAGCCCTGCTCGCTTGACCCAAAGCTGCCGGCGACCAGCACGCTGCAGAGTCCTGGCCACGCTGCGTGGCTCCAGCTGGCGAGGCGCTGAGCACACGCTGCCTGCGAGCCTGCCGATGCCAAAGCCAAGCGTGCCTCACTGGATGCAACGCCCAAGCGAGGAGCCATGCAGAATTTCCAGGCAAACATTTAAGCGTTCCAAGCAGAAGGAAAACAAAATACCATCGAGGTGGTGCGGGCTTCCGAGCTGCCTGTCCTGAGGGAAGCACAGGTGACAGCCACGCTGCCCAGCACCTGCAGGACAAGGAACAGCTCTGGACACAGGCACAGCACAAGCCCAGCAGAAAAGGAAAGAGACAAAAGCAAAGCACAGAAGAAAGGCTCTCTGTAACCTCAGCAGACAGGTCGTGGCACTAACTGTTCCTTTCCCCAAGAAAAGCACAGGTCAGATCTCCTCACATCAGTTTTACTTCCCGATGAGGACTGAACAGGAGGCACCAGAACCACTCCTGTTTGGGGGTGAAACTGCTGCATGTCAGCAAAGCTCTGGAAAGCCTTCTGCTCTTACGCTAGCATCACTGCGTGTGTTCCTTTTTATGGCTTCCTAATGATAGTACAGATAATTTTAGCCTAGAATGCTTTGCTGTCTGCATATGCCAGCTTGTGAAATATGTAAAGCCAAGATTTTAAAAGAATCTTCTAACTGAAGCTGCTTGCTTTTAAAAAATATAAATCCCTGAAAACGTTCTGGGAGCAAAGGCATGCTTCCAGGGAATTTTAAAGCAGCAAACACGTTCTGAGCTCAGGAACTGTTAATATGGTGTACGGACGTGTGGTCACCATGATCTCGCTCCCAATGAGCCCTAGAGAACAGAGTTGGAAGGCACCTCGGGTGGCCATCGAAGCCAAGAGAAGAATGAGCTTTACCCAGGCTCCTCCTGAGAGGTGCTCGCCTTCAAAGCTCCCAAGGACAGGGGATTCACAGCCTCCCGCAGCGCCCTGCTCCTGGGCATGTTTCTGCTCTTTCTGAAGTTGTGATGAGTTTTATCTTCCACTTCAACCTGAGCAATTTCTCCCCAAAGAGCTGAACTGCCTGGACAATCTGGCACTTACACACAGTGTGGGAAAAGGTAACAGAAGCGGAAGCTCTGTGGTCATGAGGCCATGAAATTATGGACTTGGCAGATGAACATCTTGATTTCCATCACGGGTGTCTTTAAATGGAATGCTTTTATCTCTCCTTATCTCCGAGCACATGTCTTCCTTTTCCTGATCCCACTGAAAAAGCCTTTTTTTCTCTCTTGATATTTAGGTCCAAATAAAAACTCTGGTGATCAGCTAAGGACACTTCTTCAGCCCACTCCTGCGCTGGTATTTACATGAGCTGAGGGTACCTCCAGAGACGCTGTGAAGTGGAAGTTTGGATTTACAGTTAGAGCTGAGCGGGGGAAGAAAACCAAACCATGTATTTACCCCAAAGGGCTGAGGTGGCAGAGGTCTCATCGCTTCGGTCAACAAAAATCAGTCACGATTGCTGCCCCAACGCCTCCGGCTTCAGCAAACCCAGGATCCTCACGGGGGAGACGTTCTGGGCTCGGGGCTTGAGCTTTGTTTTGAAACCTCAGGCCTGGTTCGGTGGCTGTGAGCGAGGCAGCATTTTAATTGTCTTTCCAGGAGAGGCTCCCATCTGATAATGGACACCGCGTGCAGAACCCACACCTTTGTGCAGAAAAACAGGACATTCCACAGCTGCCTGATAAATGTTTTTGTTTATTTTTTTTAGCCAATAGGGTTAAAATTAGTGTGCTGATACAGTTAAGTGAACTCATGCTAAGTGGATTCTCACTAGAAGGAAACAGAAAAATGTTTAAGAAAAAAAATCTACAAGCTTTTGCTGTCTCATGGTCCTGATCCACGCTGAAGGTTTTCCAGATGTTAGCACGATATATGCGTACTTCACTTGGCCACTTTTTCTTGAACACAGAGAATTTCCCAGAAGTCTGCAGCATTTCAGGAGAGCTCTTTAAACTCAAAGCTGACTAAAAGCATTGAAATGCTTCTTCCCTTTTAAGACTTTCTTTTGCCTGGTTTGAGCCATTGGGGGGGAAATACTCAACCATTTCTGACAAACTTTCTGAAAACCATTTGTTTGTAAGGTTTGTATATGGAAATCACCTGAAAATTTGTACTTTTTCACATTCCAGTGGACTCCATGCAGCGTTACGTTATGCTGAAGGTTGTCTGAACCCCTCTGTGACACACAGGCTGATGCAAGCAGGATAACTAAATAAAGAAACTAATTGTATGGACTCTCCAAGCCCTTTAACCACGGTGTTCCTGTCCCTCCACCCTGTAATAGTGCTAGCTGTGTTTCTCTGAAGTCTCTTTATAAGTCTGCTTCACAGATTAGAAACCCGAGGCAGGCACAAAGCAAGTAAATAAGAGCGCTTTGCCTTTCCAGCTCTAGATAAGACAGTGCAGGAAACTGGAACAATCCCGGCAGGAAAACAACAGGATACAGAACAGCAGTTCTTAAACGTGACTGCCAGCCCCTGCCCCCAGCATGAATTGTTTGCTCCTGCTCACTTGAGAGAGTGCACCAGGGGTGCAGCAGCACGGGACAGCTGTGAAATGGGCGCACGGGAGGGGACGGGCTGTCAGAGAGCCCTGGGAAGGGGCGAGGGGTGCCGCTGGGGCACGTGGTGGCTGGGCAGGAGGGGTGAAGCTGTGCTTCCCCGTGTCCGCTTGGAAGAAGCAAGGAGGAAGTTGAGAGCAGAGCAGAAGTAGCTCATGGTGCTAAAAGTCATTGAACTTATCCCACCGCTTCTTAGCAAGGGCCTTTGGGGTGGATCTTTGGGGTGGATCAATCATTTCCCAGCACATCGTTCTTCCCGTACTTGTCAGTGTGTCTCTCTCCTTCTCCTGGCTATGCCGGAGCCTTCTCAGCACCTCTTCAGCTCTCTTCATGCTCCACCGTATCCTTCCACTGCTCCTCCTGCCCTGCTTGCAGCAGTGCAGCTCCCAAGACACGCTCGCTACAAGGTGGCAGTGCTCCATTTCTAGAGATGCTGGCAGAAAACAACACCTGATAGTGGGCAGGGTGTAACTGCGTGCACCAGCTCCGAGAGACGGCTATTGAACAGCCTACAGCAATCACATTCCTTAAACAGGAGTATTTTGGTCTAAAGAACTGGATGCTTTTTTTCAGTTGAGTCTTAATTATCTCTTCTCTTGAGGGTCTGCATTACAGAGCTGCCGTCCTTGTAACGTAACCGAGCTCTAAATCAAGTCGTCTTAAAACAGAGCCAATAAAAGCCTGCAGCCAGCTGGCAACGGATCGCCTGGTCCAACCAACAGTAATCAACCACTAAAAACAGATGTAGTAAAGGAAAAAATTAATTTGAAATCACCAACTGCTATAAATAGGCCCTAATATTTTAGATCCCTGCAAAGAAGTGGGAAAGCTGAAATGTGAGTAGGGCAAAGCCGTTACTGCACAGAGCGTTAGGGCACGGGGCAGGGACCCTGCTCCTTATCCCGCTCACGCCACCGGTTGTGAGCTGGTGCCAGCGGGGGCGAGTGGGCCGTTATTTTCCATAGCGATTGTAATTTATTTTCCCTTTTTTGTTGCTTTCATGTTCCTTTTCCCGTTGCGCGCGAGGTTCCGAGCGGCACCAGCTTGGCCAGCGGCGCGGTCACAGCGCAGCACCGGCGGCTTCGCGGAGCCGCAACGCAAAACCGAGGGGGGAGAGGGGGGAGGAGGCTCGGGTACGGCCGGGAGCGGGGCCGGGAGCGGGGCCGGGAGCGGGGCCGGGAGCCGCCGGCGCGTCCCCGCCAGGGGGGGCTCGGCCGCCGGCCTGCGCGCCCGGCCCCGCCCTCCCAGAGGCCCCGCCCCCTTCCCCGCCCACTCCCCGTGCCCCCACCCAATGAGGCTCCGCCCACGCCGCGAGGCCCCGCCCCCATCCCGAGGCCCCGCCCCTCCCGGTGCCGGGGCGGGCTCCACGCGGCCGCCCCGCGCCTCCTGCTCCCCCCGGGGCCTCTCGGTGTCCCCGCGCCCCAGCGGGGGCTGCTGGAGGGGACGATGCCGCCTTCAGGGGCTCGTGAAGGCCGCGGGGACTCGGGGCTAGCAGCGGGCACGGGGCTCTCCTTGTGTCTCGAGGGGCTGTGAGGGTTCGGAGGTGCTGCAGGGCTCCTGGGCGGGGAGGAAGCCTTCTGGCAAACGAGGCACGTTCAGGGGGTGTTCAGGGGGTGCGCTGCCTCGGAGGGGGGCTCTAAAGGCTCAGCTGGGGGCTCGAGCAGACACATACCCGCGGAGTGGTGTCCAGGAGGGGAGCGGTGCCTGTCCCTCACACACAGCCCTTGGCTGCGGGGAAATCCATGGGTTCGTGCTCCCTGGCCGTGCTGACAGGACACCTGGGAGCCCCGCAGGCTCTCCACCTTTGCAGCCTTTTTCTACACAGCTTTCTCCTGTTGTCTGTGTCTGGAAGTGCCCCCGTGGCCCTTACCTCCTGCACAGTCACTCAGGATGCTTCAGGGAGCCTCCCATGGAGCACGGCAGTCTGGGGAAGGAGGGCGAGAATCCCACTGGGACCCAGAGGACAGGGCGGCCTAGGGAACGAGAGAAAGGAGGCATTAGTGATTGAGGAAGTGATCTTACAGCAATTGGTGTGCGATGGAAGCAATAAACAGCAGGCTCTCTGCCCCGAGAGCTGAGTCTGCAGCCACTTTTTATAGGTTGTGAGGGGCAAGGAGCTGGGATCGGCGGTATCTGGAGAGGCACCCTAAGAGGCAGCGGCTCCCGGTTTGTCTCCCTCTTGAGTGCTGCGTTCAGCAGGAACCGAGTCTCACGGATGAAAAATACCACAGCTGGATGGCATCTTGCCTCCTGGAGGAGCAGTGAAACCTAGCACTGGTACACCTAACCATTAATTTAGAAAAGAAAAATACATTCTGGCATAACGGCCCTAAGAGGCTGCCAACCCTTGTCCTACAGCAGCGATAGCACACTTTCTGTGTGAGCAAGAGCAAACAATGAAGCCCACTCTCCAGATTCAAGCAAAATTTGAGTCAATAGCTGGGTTCAGATCTGCAGTTCTCTGCTGTAACTGCCCTGAGTGCACAAAGGCGTTTCTGTACAGACGTTTTGGGAGGTTTTGGAAACCTCCCCAGGCCTGCACCACAAAGCCTCTTCCTGGGCCTTCCAGCGCACGCTCTCAGATGAGCCCGGCACCAGTGAACGTGCCTTAGAGAATCACCTAGGCTGACGGCTCCCCAAAGCCTAACTGGGTACCTCAAATAAGCTATCTGTGCACGGCTAAGCTTTTGGGAAGGCAGGCCTGCTGGCCAGAGGGCTGGGTTACAGCCACAGCCGTGCTCCTCCGCCTACATGAAACCCTTTTTGTTTCTTTGGTGACCACACGTGTGCTTTAGTCCTCGTGGCAAAGCCTGGGAGGGCAAATCCTGCTAGCTGGCTTCGAGTGGCTGCAGAAGGAAGCGGTTAGCTCACAGTATGAAACGAAATATCTTCTCAATAAATGAAGAATTGGTTAATCGAGCAAGAAAATGCACGCTGTATGTGCGGAGCAGGCAGCTGTGCACAGCCTGCAGTTCTGCAGCCTCCCGTGCCCCTGTGCTGCAGCACTCCCCCCAAGCCCCTGCTGCAACGGCGCTGCCATCACGCCCTGCACTCACTGCCCTCGCCTCTGAGCATCTCACCAAATGAAATATTCAACGTGCTGAAGGATATTAAGTTCCTTTGTTCCTCTGGCAACCGAGATCCTGAGCGCTCTCAATCCTCCCTGCCTCCACGTGGCGCAGGTTCACGTCTCAATGTTCTTTTAATGCTCGATTTACTACTCCGGAGGCCTTAGCACCGGCTCACCTGCGTTACACAGCAACTCTGGCGTACAACCTACTGGGCAAGGACACAGCTACTTCACGGGTGGGTATTTCTCATCGGCACCCAGGCCCTGAACTGTGCAGGTGGGAAGTGCTCGGGGCAGAGCCAGTGGCTGGCTGTGCAGGAAGCCAGCTCCGTCCTGTGCTGAGCGGAGCCCAGAGACAGCTCCCAGCGTCCGCCCAGCAGGGCACTCCCTTGCAGAGGCCAGCTGTAACTCCACAAACATCAGGAGCGGTCAGTCTCCGTGTTAAAGCACTGGTTAAAACTAGTTAAAACACTGGAGGTAGGTTACTCGTTCTGTTCATCGCTTCCATCTGGTTGTCAAACAAGAGCCACGCTGAAATCCCTGCACCACCTCTTCCCATTTCCACCACCTGAAGCATCGGCGAGCCCTCATCCCACAGCGCCAGGCCCCTGAGCTGCGGGAACAGGGCTTCCCCGCGCTGCTTGCCGTGCCTAACACCCCTCAGCAACATATGGGCCCGCCAACAGAAGCCGCCCGCTGCATAATTACGGCACTGACAAACCAATTGAACCTCGGCAGCTGCCACGGGGGAGATCTCATTCAGTCTCAGTATTGCCTTTTAAACTTAAGTGGCACTGGAACAAACACATCTTTGATCCAAGTAGGAAATCATTTGGAGCTTTGTGTTTAATAGAGCTGAGGCCCTGGGAAAATGATGGCTTTATTAGCCTGGATGACCGTGCGGGCCTCATGGCAGGCAGGCGCTGGTTTGCTCCGACAGTCCCATCACTTCTTCAGACCTATTTGGAAGTATTTGTTATGGAATTGATGTGAAACAAGGACTTTAATTCAGCCGTGCTGCTGAAGCACCTATAAACTATGAGGAACCTCAAACAAGTATTACGGGAGGAGGAGAGGGAGCACGATTTTGGCAGTTCCAGAATAAAGTTGCGTCTCTGCACTTCTGTCCTTGTGCTACGTCGTGCTTTCCTGGGGCCTGCAAGATTTGCTGCAGTTAAGTTCAATAAGGAAGGAGCAAGATCCATAAAATATTTGGTAATGATTCATACCAAGTAGCCACTAAAACTTCGTCCTTCAGCCCTTCGAGCTAGTTGGTAGACTGGTTTGGCAATACAGTTAAAGAAGCTGTTTTCTTCCTAAAAAGATAGTCTCAAGGGTATGTTTTAAAATACCGTCTTGCTCTGATTTTTCAAAAAGCATTCTCCTGGATTCTTTGGAAACTACTTAAATGCTTCATTTCTTAGAAGGTTGCTTTAGAAAAGCAAGTGAGAGGTTTCCCAAGAAAACCACATCAGCGTATTCACTGGTGGAGGGAGCTGTAAACATTGTCAATCTAAATATTACTCTTAGTTACAAACAATTATACCGGCTGCGAATGGAAGCTGGCTCTGGCACAGCAAAACCTGCCGTGCAGACAGTAAGAGGGGGAGCAGCTTGCACACATACACCTAACGGCGCATGTCTAGGTGCTCTGCATGTGTATCTGTCTCTTTTAGGGCCTCTTCCATTTAAATGACCTGTGCTCAGCCTGAAGTTCTGTCTGGAGTCACCCAGCACCTGGGTAATATCCACTCAGGTAGCAGATGCAATGGGAGACGTCGGTACGAGCTAGCGTTTCAGCCAGCAGCCCCTCGGCCCGACAGGTGAGCGATGCAGAGCCTCAGAAATAATGCATGAGCCGCGTGGGGCCCGGCAGCGCCGCTCGCCTGGTGGCTGCCGCGGCTCCCCCACTGACCTGGGAGCAGCAGCTGCATGCCCAGAGAGCTGGGGTGCCGCAGCACCCACCAAGGGACTCCCTGCTGGGGTGTTTCTGAGGAAAACGGGCACTCGGCGCTTTCTGCTGGAGTTACGCAGAGCCCCCGAGGTCCCAGCATGAGCGAGAGCTCGTGGAAAAGCTGCCTGCTGAGCCATCACGACCCCTAAGTGGTTTATCAGGAAACTGGCAGCACCGTTAGAGTGGAATAAAATAAAATCATTGTAAGGAAAGAAAAGAGCATTCCAGCCGCTTTCTGAGCAGCTTTGTAGCACGGGAAGGTGCCTGAACTGCACTAATCCTTCACTGCAGAAAATGCCTCCGAAGAAAGGAAAAGAAATGTAGAACTGCAGCCACACAGAAGAGACCCCAAATTATGTTTATTTCCCTGCCCTAGGATAGCAGGGGAGATGTGCTTGTAAGGATGGTTGTTTGTATAAATAAATGTTCATTCTTGGCAGTGGAATGCAAACTATGCTGAAGGGCTGGAAACAGACCACTCTGCAAAGCTGAGGCCAGAGTAAGGGAAAGATGAAGCGAGGCTGTCGGGAGGAAATTCACATTCATTTTTAGCAACTTGGAGAGTTTCTCAAGCATGTTTGACATTTTTAATTATGCTGATGTAGAACCTATTCCAAGGACAAAAGCGGTCAGGATTGCTGGGTAAACAATTAGGAAATCTCATACCAGCCAGCTAGGGGTAGTGTTGCCTGTGGGGCTGGAGACTCTGCTGAAACACGGCATCATCTTTCATACTTTCTAGACAAATGGAATTTGAGTGTCTTGCAAAATCTTTGCCTAGGTCAGGAGACTCAGATCCTCATCTTGCAAGCTTTCTCGAAAGGCGTATTTTTGACAGTACACATGAGACAGGAAGGAGATCAGTCTGCTCTGCTGCTACTTGGCTGAGCTTTCCTGCAGGGTTTCCTGAGAGGCTAGGAAACAATCTCGTTACGTTTCTACCAATTGTCTCCGAAGCCGTACCCTTAGAATGGAAAATAAAACTGACATTTCTTCAGGAGAACAAGATCGGCTCTGCAGCGCTGAGCCCGAGTCAGGGCCTGTTGGTCTGCCTCCCATGCTCGGCACATTCTGCAGCACGCCTGCAGCGCCTCGGTTCGTGCGGGGAGCAGAGCTCAGCAGGCTCGCTCGCCCTCCTTCCTCTCTGAAGAATTTGCAAAGAAACGTACCTGTGGTTTAATTTCTGAGTCAAGGCTGATAAAGACGGCACAGGAATGGCAAGAGTTTGTTAGCGAGCAGAAAGGTTGCAGGAAAATTAGAAGGGAGTGGTTTTTAATGCACACCTGCTCTGTTTGCCTCGGCCACCGAGCTGCGGGTGCTGGCGGCACTTTTAGGCTGGTAGAGCTGAATAGGAACTTGCATTCTCTTTGAGATAATGGAAAGTCACAGAGGAGGTATCCAGCTTCTGGGCATGAATAAATCATTGAGGGGATGAATTATTCAGCGATCATCCCTATAACATGTGCTACATTCAGACTCAAGAGGCAACATCCCTATTGTGTGGGTTTTCTTCCCAAACATTACAGATGTATGACAGGCTAATGAATCTAAATAGGCAAATGTTGGGAAACGAGATTAAAAGAGTAATTTAAAAAAGAGCAGTAAAAAGCTGCGTGAAAGAGCTGGCATGCTTCGGGCTGGAATTACGCTGGTCAGATGCTCTTTGAACTCGGTGACGTCGGATCAAGCTGTCCACAACAGTTAGGATCGCGATGTGAAGAATGAATAAAGAGTGGCTCAGGAAATTGGAAACACAGGTTGGAGGAAACAGACAGGGTTACGAGCGCAGGAACAATGCAGAAGCTGGCCCAGTCGTCCACCAAAGAACAACACGGGCGCTACACCTGATTTCTCCAGAGCCCATCTGCAGTCTTGATGCCACTTACAAGGTATCTGAAGATGCCTGGGCTCAGCTCCGCGCTGTCGGGTCAGTGTCCTTGCCTCACGGCGCTTTTTTAACGCTCCATTTTTACGAGCTGAAGTCAGTTGGATTAAGAGAACAATCTGACTGCAGTGACTAGAAGGCTGGCATTGTTCAATCTGGACTGATAGAATTATTTGAATTCCACACCCAAAATCACAGAGCCTACGGCCTGAGTGAGCAGAGGCAATGCGTGATCCCCGAGCAGCACGTGCTGACAGTTAATTATCTCAGAAAGCTGCCGTGAAGAGTTGCAGCTCGGTGTAAGCTGGAGCGGCATAATCAAACCATAGAATAATCTGCTCCAACCCTGGCTGGAAGAAAAAAAAGTCCTGTGTTCAATAGCCAGGAAATGGCTGGTCCGTCCTTCGCAGGAAATGAGTCACCCGAAGGCATCCGCGAGGAGCAGCAAAGACAGGGAAGTTCTGAACTAACAGGGACTGATAACGACAGGCCAACAGGCCGGCACACAGATAAGTCTCTCGTTTTCTCATAGATTAGGGAGAAGAAAAGACGTAAAACACGAGTTGTTGTGATTATGCCTACAACTTTAGGCCAATGCAACTACTTGCAGCACAAAGTACCGGTGGGTACGGCGTGTCAGCCCCGTGAAGAGGTGAGTGCAGAACACACAACGGGCAGTAAAAGCTGCACGAGTCCTGGAGGTGCATGAAGCTCGATTCCTGACCAATGTATTGATCAGCCGCCCACTGGTGCTCTTTTTGGTAACACTCCACAGTGCCAAATTCTTATGGATCAGTGGAAAAAAAACACTTCCCTTGCTAACGGTGTGTGCTGCTCTAAAACCAGCAGGCTGCAGATCAGTGAGCTTTCTGCAAGCACCGGAGCTAACGAAGCCGGCTGCCCACCGCTCCCCTGCACGCTCATACCCCCAGCCCAGCTTTCTGCCTGCATCGCTTGTAACGCTGCTGGTCCCCCCCCCTTTCCCCTTCCCTCACTCGGGGGTGAGTACGAACCCCCTCTTCTCAACAGTTTCGGGCCACGTGCGAGCTGCCCGGCCCAGGAGCAGCCACGCCAGTCCTTCTGCCGATCGAGGCGGCACCGGGAGCCCCGCGAGCTCCGGGCTAACCCCTGCCAGAGCCCTGGTGTGGCGTCGTGAACGATGCACAAAAGAATGTTCTGGCACCCCGAGACATTACAAAACTGCACGAACTCTTTTAAACAAAACAGCCATGTTAATTAAAAGTGGGTAAAAATAAATAAAAGCAACAAAAAGAGGCAAAAGTATTCAAAACAACCCCTGCCCCCCCCAAATTCACTGGGACTAGACGGGAAGCAGAGTTCTATGCCAGCGAGTTTCCTGGTTTAGGACCTTGCAGGGTGCCGTGAATCATGGGGGAGGAGGGGAGGCTGCAGGAAAAAACTGTTAAAAACCACAGCTGGGCAAAGCACCAGCTCGCACCTCTACGGCTCCTGTTCCTGAGCACGGAGCGTATTTTGGGGGGTTCTTGTTTTTAACTCACTGACAGACGGGGAGGGTGGGATTGTAAGGGGAAGGGGAAAAAACTTCCTGGTTTGTGAAGGAATACAGTTACAGGGGAGGTGTTCTCTGGCTGTGGGGCAGCTCCAGGGCTATTTTAAAAAGACAAAGAAAAAAGGCAGGAAAAGGGTCTCCTTCGTTTCCCAGAGTTTTTCGTCCCAGCACGGCAAAACAAATTCAAAGAGATAACATGGGCAGGAAGGGCCTAAAAAAAAAAAAAAGAAAAACCTGGGTGTGTCCCTCAAGGCCTTCCTAGCTGTGAGTAACCGGAGCCTGGGGGAGGGTGGGCCCGTTTTGGGCCCGTTTTGCTGGATTGTACAAAAGAAGCTGATTCATATTTTTCCCTTCTCCCTCCTCGTTTTTTTTTTTTTTTTCACACGGCTATTTTCATGTGGGTTTCTTTTTCAAAACAAAAAGAAACACGGAGACGTGTCCTTCTCCCAGTTGTTTTTTTGTATAAAGTATGACTTTTTTCTTAAATGCATTTTCCTGTTTGGCCCAAGGAACCACTGTCCATGACCCCGCAGTATCTTTAGTCAGTTTGCTCCCACTGTATCTGAAAGGATACTAAAATTTCTGTTAAATATTACAGGAAGATGATAAAACGTTGCATAATCAGCATTTCTGCCAGAAAATCTGAGAAAGCTTGAGCAAACCCTCAAAGAGTCTTTTAAGCTAGCCCAGAACTGCACAGCACAGTGCTAATTCTTTGATGGCATCCCCCCGCGTTTGCTTTTCCAAAGATATCTGAAAAGCAGCTGCACAGGCAGTGGATCTGCACAGGCAAGAAACCGATCTCAACAGCCACTAAGAAGTCAGGTATCATTCTGACCAGCAATTAGTATATGGCATTAATGTTTTTTTTTCAAAGTCTTGGTGTTATGTTTGGGGTACTGGTCTTTAGGGTGCGCTTCTTTACAAATGGGCTCAAAGATTGCACATTAAAAAAGGAGGGATCCTGCCTCCAAGCTCCCCTCTGCTGCAGAGGGGTTTCTTACAGGATATGGAACGGGTTGTCCTGACGGGACAATGAATAAAACCCCTCCACAGGAGACAGAGCTTAAAGTAGGCACAGCTCAAGAAACTGCATTATGGCTTCTGAAATGAGACTTCAAATCGCACTCTGCTTTGATCAAATCACTTCATCTTTCCAGCCCTCAGCTCAACCCCTCCGAAGTGAATCACACAATCCCATCATTTTCCCATTCAGCCTGCCTGATCTAAGTTGTAAATCTCTTATCAGTAGCACAAGCTGAGCCTCCTTTCAGGTGCAGTACCCAGCAAAGTGACTCTGGTTTCAGGGAGGACCTTTGGTCGCCTGGAGTGCCAAGGAAGAACGTTCCTTTTCTCCGGTTTAAACTTCACTGCTGCACTGCGTGAGGGCCAAATGGCCAGGAGCCCAATAAAGCGAAGATATGGGAGTCAGCAGCTACCAGCTCTTGGTGAAACCCAAGCTTTTTGGAAGCTTTTGCATGTCACAAACAGTGACAAGAGCAGTGCAGTAGGTTGACATCCAAACTATCTGACCACTGCCCCACTCTGAGAAGATAAGGTCTTTGGCCATAGGAACCAACACAGTAACGTGTCTGAGAGAAAATTATAGCTGGTTTCACGTTTTTAAAAGCTTTTTTGCTATATTTACGTGTTTAGTATCTGCTTCAGAAAGAAATGGGAATATAAAAGGCATGTCTGTACCTGTCAGCGTTACCTGACACTGAGCAGGAACACTGCCCAAGGCCAGGACTCCAAGTTCAATCTGCACTTCTAAATCCTTCCCTAACCCTTCACAAGGACACCACTGCTGGCACGGCTCAGCCGCTTCCATCAGAGGCAGACTGGCAGAAGCACACAAATGTTTCCACAAAAAATGTCAGAAGTGGGTGTGCTGGTGAGGAACCAAGGATCCTTTCTGCAGTAAGACCAGTATTATGTTGCCTAGAGACTCTCACAACAGGATTGCCACTAATGAATCCGAGATCAATGTGGACTGAACGTTTGATATTTGATTCAGCGCTGCACAGGGGACTCGTAGGGAGGCCTGGGACAATTAATTCTGGTGCTGCAGTCGACGGGTAGGTTTATGACAAGCGAGGCAAGGAAAATAAATAACGCTGGTAGAATTCCCAGTGAGCAAATATTGCCTATATTTAAACAGCGCCACACAGCATTTCAGCTGGGGGAGCAAACAGCTTTACCAAGAGGAGGGAGTGGGGAAGGACCGGCCGCTCCTGCTGGATGTGTGGGGCTGATCCGGGATCTGCTCGGCCTCCAGCGGGATCCTGGGGCTCCGGGGCCTGTTCGGGGCCAGGAACAAAGCGAATCTATCGCACCCAGCATCAGGTCCCGGAGAGCGCCAGGGGGACGTGTTGGTTTCTTTGATTTATTTTGAGAACCTTCATCTCGTGGCACATGAATGAGTTGGAAAATTATTGTTAAGGGAGCACAGAAAGTATCTAATACGCATAAACCCATTAAATTTACCCTAGATGGCCCAAACATGATTTTAATTCGGGGTTTGAAAATCCCCCAGGAGAGAAAACCCATGGATTTCACCTGAACCTCTGGGGAAGTAAGGCCCACAGGCAATTACAGGCAGTAAGCGTGAAACTCGCTTATCTAATTAACCACTGGGCTCTACCTGACGAGGAAAAGAGCTGCTTTTATCCACAAACTCTGTGAGAACTGGGGCTGAGGAGAAATGCGCTGGGCAGGGCGGGCAGGTGGGGGCTTACCTCACAGCTCCTTGCCACTCACTGCATAATCTTTATCCTTAGAACATTAACTGCAAACAGAATCTGCCTTATGTTTTAAGTAAAGCTTTCAAGCGCCGTCCAAGTCCGTGAACAGTCCCAGGCCGGCAGCGCTAAATTATTCCCCGAATTTCGTCGAGGAGCCCGGGCTCCCTTACTCGAAATGGCGGCGGGCAGCGGCGCGCGGCTTCCCTGCCCGCAACCAACATGGCGGCCTCCGCGGCCCCGGGCCGTGCCGCGGATGACGACACAATGTGCACGTTGGCGCTCTTGCCCGTACTCAAGATGGCTGCCACCGCCGTTCTCCCATGCCCTGCCCCCAATCAAGATGGCGGACCGGTGTGGCATTTCGGCATCCTTCCCGCTCTCAAGATGGCTCCTCCCAGCCGCGTCCCGGCGCCCACCCAATCGCGCCGCACACCGGCGCGTCGCCCCGCCCCTCTCCCCGCCCTCAGCCAATAGGCTCGGGGAGAGCCTCCGGCGTTCCCACCCCCGGGGGCGGGCCCTCCCCGCCCCTGCCGTCAAGGTGACACCGCCGGCAGCCAATGGCGCGGCGGCGCGGGCGAGGCGGGCCGGGCGGCGCCGCCATTTTGTGAGTCTATAACACGGAGCCGTCGGGTCCGTTCCTGCTATTCCGGCGCCTCCGCTCCGTTCCCTGCGGGTCTCCTCCGTGTGCAATGGACGGGTGAGTCCCCGCCCGAACGGGCCCCGCCGCGCCCGAGGCCGCACCCGGGGCCTGTGGGGGAGCGCCGCCGGCCCCTGAGGGGGCTCCGCGGGACCGGGGGGGGGGCCGCGGCCGGGGCTCGGGACCCGGGGTCTGGGCGTTACCTCGGGGGGGGCGCCCGGGGCGCGGCCGCCCCCGCCGCTGGGGGGGGTGGGGGGGATACACAGGGAACGGGGGGCGGGCGGTTACCGGCGGGGGGCTCCCGGGGGGCTGCCCCCGGGGCCGTGCTCGCCGCAGGGGGAGGAGGTGCCCGGGGGGTGCGGGGGCGGCCCCGGGGTCTGCTCCGCGGCCGCCGCCCCGGCGCTGAGGCGCGGGGCCTGGGGCGGGCTGGGCCCCCCCCTCACAGCCCCCCCCTCACGCCGCGCTCGCCCCCTCGGGGGCCGCCTGAACCCTCCCGGAGCGTGGGCGGGTGCGGGGGGGGCGGCTCCGTGCGCAGGGAGAGCCCGCCCCGGGGCTTGGCTGGGTGCCCCCCGGTGTCCCGGGAACCCCCCCGGGGGGCTCGGTTTTGGGTTGGGGGGGGCGGCGGGGGCGCGGCCGAGCCCCGCGCCCATTGTGCGGCGCTTTCGCAAGCGGGGAGGTGGCGGTGGAAGGGGGGGGGGGGGGAGGCCGCTCCCCGTGGGGCTGAGCCGTGCCCGGGGCCCGTGGAAGTTGTGCCCGGCTCGGGTCGGGGCAGCCGCGGTTTCCCCCCCCCCCCGCTCCTTGTCGCTGCCCCGCTTCGGAAGCGCTTTAAAACTCCCCCGGGGGCAGCGCCTTCAGGGCTCCGTGCCCCCCCCGTCTGCTTCGCTGGGCGTTTTCCTAGCGAGCGGGCTCGTTTCTCTTGCAGAGCGCCGTGTCCGTGCCTAAAATACCTCTGTAAAGGCCTCCACGTAAGGGGCTTGTTTCCCCACAGCCGGGGGAGCCCAGCGCGGTGCCTCCCCTCCCCTGCATTGACGCTGTGCTGGGGATCAGGCACAGCCCCGTCTGGTTTTTAGCTCTGCCGAAGCCTTGTCTGGGGTGTTCTCATCCTAAAAGTCTAGACCTCTTAAAATGAATGTAGTTTGCAGCCCAGGGTGCCGTTTGCGTTGCTTTTTCCGAGTTGTTTGGCATGCTGAATGGTGTTTAAAAAACTCAGCGTGTGAGATCACATGTTTTAGTGTTAAAAATCAGTTTCTGTCGGCTGTGTTCATCCTGGGTCCTGGGAAAGCTGGTTTATTGTGCCTGGTGAAGAAGTTCCTACTTTATTGTTGAAGTTTGAGTATAATGTGATGCTTAATTATTCATTAGTTTTTAAAGATCTTGGTGTGTGATCTGCTTACCCCGTGAAAGCTGACCCCTGTTGAAATTTCAAAAGCTGTTTTGAAAGAGGTTTTGGGTTTTGTGAGCTGGCGGTGTGACACCTCTCTGGCTCTGTGTTCCTTCTGTTTTACTTCTGCTACCTAAACTGATGTGTAGTTACGCTTTTGAAGTGATCGATCACTATTGAATAAGCTGCTTTAAAACATGCAAGGAGTTAATTTGGGAAAGGCTGCTTTGGAAAGTGACCTCGAGGTTTCACTGGCACTGCTGAATTTCGATCCTTACCGTGTAGGAATCATCTCGTTCTGTGTAAAATAACATCTGAGGAAGGCTTTATTGCCGACTCTTCTAGAAAACATAAAAACATTAATCCCATATTAAGGTTGACACAAGACGAGAATGCAGCTTTGAGATGTGATAAGCTGTGGGAGAAGTAACCGGGAAGAATATCCCATTTCTTTAATAAAAATACTTCAATACTGCTAGTTTCGTGTGGCGTTTGTTATCAGATGGGTTACAACAAGAGTATTCCAGGACTCGATAGTTCTTGGCAAATAAAAGCTCTTCCTGCTGGATAATTTTAAAGACTATTCCCTGTGAAGGCTACTTTATGTAAAACATTTCCTGCCTGTGAGGCCCGCAGGAGGAACAGGAAGTAAGAGAAACTGCTCGGGGGTAAGTCCGAGAGGTTTGGAGACCTCAGAGATTCCCTGCTCGTACTGCGCTTTGCTGGAAATGTTTGTGAAGGCTGTGAAAATCCCGGGGTGGATGTGTGTGTTTTAACTGAAGAAATGTGTGCTCATGAAGTATTCAGTAACTCCTGGAGGACGGTTACGATTCTGTAGGCCGATACGTACAGATGGGTTTAATTAGCTCGGTGCTGCTGGCCCTCCGAGTGCAGTGAAACCCATCTGTCCTGCTGCTGGGCAGGCAGGGGGGGCGGCAAGGCCGGCATTCCCATGCAGGGGCTGGGAGCAGCCCCTTAGAGAGGGGGGAAAAAAGCGCGACCGTGGCGGAGCCGCCCGGCAGCGGCCATGGGATGAGGCTGGAGCTCTGGCTGTGGATGGCTGGGCTGTGATGACATGGCAGGCTGGGGCAGGAGAGGAAGTGCGAGGAGCTGAGCTGGCTCCGGCTCGTGCTAGGGCATAGTGAAAGGCGGGTGGCGTGTAGGGAAGGAGCAGTGCTCACTTCCCTGAAAAATGAAGAAGTGCTGCAGGAGGAGGGTAGGGAAAGAAGAACTGCTCGGTGCTAAATCAGTCAAACTGTAGAACTGCCCTGAATGCTTCACGTTTCCTGGTGGTGTAGGAGTGACTGCGCTGTGTTCTGCTTGTCTTCTGTGTTTCCCTGAGCTGCTGCAGGCCTGCTAGCCAGCCAGCTCTGCATCCCTTCCTCTGGAGCTGTGACTGTCAGATGCGAGCTGGGACAGGCAGTGCTGCGTGTGTCAACCCAAAGTTACTGTCTCCACTCGCCAGTGTCATATTGCTGCTTTACCATGGAATGGATTAGAAAAATCGTCAATGCAGGGGTGTAACTGATAGCCTTTGCCTGCCTCGAGTCCTGTCACAAAAAATAACACGTAGGCACCGCAGTGCTCTGGGATATTACCCGGTGCAATATGCCGGGCTGCAGGCAGCTCGTGCTGCTTCCCTCGGTGACAGAAGCTGCTCTGGTAGGCGAGTGGTGCGAACTGGGCACTGCTGGTGCGAGCTGCTGGAGGAGCAGCCAGCACTGCTACTGCTTACGGTGGGCACTTCGGCAGCAATTCTCATTGTGAGAGGTCTGCACACACGTGGTACGGGTTAATTGCCTGTTCCTGCAGGTCAGGTAGGGAAAAGGACTACGTCTTGAGCAGAAACTGCTCGGGAGGGGAATGCCGTGCACCAGCACTCCCTCATTTGGGAGTTGCCTGGGCCCCTGGGCTGCTCCTCGCTGCCCTCCGCCAGCCTGGCGCGGGGCTGGCTCCGGGGTGCTGGGACGGGCGCCTGCCGAGGGAACAGCCCCGGCTCCATCTAGTGTGTGGTGCCGCCGGGGTGTGGGTGTCCGAGGGCCCTGCTGCTGCTCGGGGAGCATCTCCACAGCTGGAGGGGCCCTTCCCAGCCCAGCGGGGGTGACTCCGTTGGATAGGTCTTGAGGAGCTGTGGAGGGGACTGTTGGTGGTGGAGTTGGCTCTTGCCACTTTTGCCCTTGACTTAGTCAAAGGCTGTGATTTCTCCTCGCATCCCGTTCTGCGGAGGGTGCTGGACTTCACTGTGTGGGTTTTTTGGTTCTGGCCCCTGAGGTGCGCTTGAAGGAGGAGCGAGCTCCGTGCTAGGCAGGGGAAGAGCTGCGTTTTTCTCGGACTGCTGGGTCTTGGGTCTCCACCATCACCATCTAATAATTTTTCTTTGTATAAACTGTCCTTGGCTCACCTGCAAAGACAACTGTGCACTTTGACTTGCTTTTTTCTTACTACTGTAAACTATGCTGGATATTTGTGGCAAACCTATCTAACTTTTTAATCCTTTTCTTTCTTTTTTCTACAGCATTGTCCAAGATATAACAGTTGGTACAAAGGTAGGCACTTCTCACTTTTTCTCTCTTTTTACACTGCTCAGCATCTGACCTAGTTTTAGCCTCACCAAATGTCGATCTTCAGGTTTAAAGGGTTATTTCTGGTACCATGTAAATTGGTTTTAACCAGAAGGTAATTCAGTTTCATGTGCATTTAAAACTTTTATTGTGGCTCAGCACTTAGCTCTTGGCGTTTGGACATTGATTATCAACTGTCCTATAAGAACATTATTGAATTTAGAAAGCCCTTTCCCCTACTAAAATGTCAAGCCGTGCTTGTTATTTGTGTGCCAGACAACGGTTCTCAATGGAGAAACTGGTCCCTTCTCTCGTGAACTCCATTTCCTCTGTTCATGTGAATTCCTGTTCAGTTACATGTCAAAAATCCGTCTACCACAAAAAAGGAGTGTTTTGGCTGTTGATTTTTATCTCCTGTGAGTACAGTAAATATGACCTTTACCCTTCTGGTCTCAGGTTTTGAAAGTGCAGGCCTAGCCCTGAAACTCAAAGTGCTGACAGGAGCCTCCTTATCTGTGCGGGTGGCGATAGCCGTTGTGTTCGGGATGAAGGCACATTCCTGGGGAATGGTGAGCTGGAGTGTGCGGGACACACTGGCACTCCTTCCTCTGTTACAGGCTTCTCATTTTCTGTGGTGGACATGGAGTGAACATCGTAGCTAATGCTCTGGGATCGGGATTACAGC